AAAGATTTGATATTAAACGAATGTGAAAGAAATTAGTGCTAGATACACAAGATTAAATAATACCTGGGTTACAGTGTATAATGCTCTAGATTTTGTTGTGATATAATAGGTCAAATGATAAGGTCATGTGATATGGTCATGTGATATAATAAGGTTATGTAAGATGCTCTAGATCTTGGATTATTAAAGGGTGGAGTTAAAATGGGTCTTGAAGCAATAAATGTTATATGTACATAATTTGTCAGGTTTTTCTGGCAAACCGACGAATCTGATATATTTAAGTATTGAGAATTATGTGTTTGAAATTTGCGTTCTGTTGTTATATCTGTGGACATCAAATAATAACATTAATTTGTGATTTAATATTTCATACATATACACAGGACACCGAACGCCATTTACATTTAAATGTTATTATTTGATGGCTATATACAGAGATAACAACAGAACGCAAATTTCAAACACGTAATTCTAAATACTTAAAGGAGCTAAATCGCTAACATTTGCGACCTAGAAATTCACAAAAGTGGGTCGCAAGCGCATATAATACTGTAATATGAATGTATATAAACTGATTTACATTTAATGGTTTCCGTTTTTACTCCAATTTCAAATCAGTTATGTTCGGCGAAATAAGTCAGCAATCTCAATCGAGTGCAAATTTATAGCGTCTAGTTATTCTAGTCTACATAACTCCATTTGAATTGGTGCAATGTGTCTAGCCTCGTCCCTCGAGTCTCTCAATACAACTGGGTCTGAAGCGCATTATGGTACACGATTCGTGTACCAATGTTAAAAAAATTATTTTATCTTAAATATCGGATATCAGAGGCTCATCTTTTCCCGGTAAGTTTACATCATCAATGTTGATTTAAATTGCCCAATAATTCATGTTTTCGATGTCGAAGATTTTGGAGGATTTTGAGTTACGGACTTAGGTCCTTTAAATATATCTGATTCGTCGGTTCGCCAGAAACATGATGATGATTTATATTCAATTTTTCAAAACATTATGAAGGGGGTTGGATGGCCAATGGGTCAACTCACGTGGTTTCGATTCCCAGGTTGCACGTGACAAGGAGTAAGGTCGCCTGCAGGGCTGCGGACAACCAGTATCGCAGCGTAAATTTGCGATACACATTTTGTCCGTTGCTAATCAAAAATTAAAATCTAACGTTTTTGATTCACAGTAACTGCGAATCATTAATATGCCTGTCATTTTGGATATTGACACAAAGATTTATCCACAATTCTCAACACTTTCAACGTGTATAAAATATCAAATAAATTTTATAAACAAAACGGAATTCTCCGTGTGACATTTTCTTCTCGAACTACCCAGACTCAATTCATTATACTATATAATACAGGGACCTAACTCTATGAATCGGGTCTATTAAACCGGAAATAGGGAATCAAGTAGTACCACTCACGTTGCGAGACATGTCAATTTCGAGTAATTATATCAGTATTCAATTTGAAAAAAAATAAATTCAGTGTATCCCCCCCCCCCCACGTATTGTAAATAAAATATAAAAAATAAATACGTGTAAACGTATTGTAAAATGAGAAATCAAAGTAAGAATTCCCGTAAACTATTATTGTTTATATCGCGTGCGTCTAGTAAATCGAGATTATTCGTAAAATATTCCGTGCTTCCGATTGAACAAAAATAATAACACACGATAAAAAGCAGACGAAAATGTTTTCTAACGAAGAAATAAGAAGCCACTGCCAAGAATTGGCTTCAGACATAAGGCCTAACCAAAAGTCAACATTCATTCAGAAATGTTCACAGCTACCTGTAGAAGTGCTAAAATTCTAAAAAATCTTAAGAATGAAATCTAATCATTTGCTATCAATTAAAATTAGAATAATCTTGTTATTTAGGTGTTTTATGTTGAAACTGAAAAACTGCTAATCAATTTTTAAATTTGCTAATCAAATTTGGCAAAATTGGACTTTTTGATTAGCAGTGCTGCTAATCATCTGTGAAAAATTACCGACAGCCTTGGTCGCCTGTCCAACCTTGTGGGTTTTCTACGAGTCCCCAGGTTTCTATGTTAGTCCCGAAATGACCTAGTTTGTGTCCAGTGGACATTAAACTCCATTGCTTGCTCTATTTCTCTCTCGCCTGTCTCTCTCTCAAAACATTATGGCATCAATTATGTTCGGTGTCTGTATCTGCTTAGTCCATTCTATTTTGTCAGTTGTAAATCAACCATACCCTACTTACTTCTGCATTGTCTTGTAGAATATTTTTTGTTTGTTCTTTACAAATGGCAACCCAATTCATAGAATACATGACTTGTATGATGATTATGAATTGTTCATTGTCTCTCAAAAATACATTATGTTAGATTAGATAAAGAGCTGTCAGTTCTCACTATAATGGTTAAAAACTAGATAATGTAAAGGCAATTTGCTGAAAATTTCAGTCAAATTGATCCACCCTTAACCAAGTATTTAGCGATTGAATTTTGGGCCTAGCCTTGATCGTCAATACGATAAAAAACATAGTCTCGATTGTCCATTTTTATACGCCCACATAGAAATGTGGATGTATATTGCCGTCGGTCCGTCCATCCATCGTCCACAATTTCTTGTGAACGCTCTAACGCCAAAAGTTATCATCCAATTGTTTTAAAATTGATATATGTTGTTTACATTAGTGAGATGAAGAAGCCTATTTAATTTCAATAATTTCCGTTTATAACGTCTAGAGTTTTGGCCCTTGTTTCACTTTGTTGAACCTTGTGAACGCTCTAATGCCAAAAGTTAACATCCGATCTTTGTGAAAATTATATGAAATATTTAAATTAGGGAAACAAAGAGGCCTATTGAATTTCAGCAATTTCCGTTTATTACTTCTAGAGTTATGGCCCTTGTTTCACTTTGTTTAACCTTGTGAACGCTCTAACCCCAAAAGTTATCTTTCTGAAATTTATATGCATTATTTAAATTAGTGAAACAAAGAAGCCTATTTAATATCAATAATTTCCGTTTATAATGTCTAGAGTTATGGCCCTTGTTTCACTTTGTTGAACCTTGTGAACGCTCTAATGCCAACAGTTAACATCTGATCTTTGTGAAATTTATATGCAATATTTAAATTAGGGAAACGAAGACGCCTATTGAATTTTACCAATTTCCGTTTATTACTTCTAGAGTTATGGCCCTTGTTTCACTTTGTTTAACCTTATGAACGCTCTAACCCAAAAAGTTATCATCCTATCTTTCTGAAATTTATATGCATTATTTAAATTAGTGAAACGAAGAAGCCTATTTAATTTCAATAATTTCCGTTTATAACGTCTAGAGTTATGGCCCTTGTTTGTTTTAATCAGAAGCAGCAGACCGGGTTCTAATCCAGTAAATATCGCATGCTAATGATGCCATCGAGAGTTGATTATGGTCTGGATAAGTTAATTAATGTCTAATTAATGATTTAGATAAGATTTCAGGCCTAAAGAAAGACCTGCAATTGGCAGATTTACCTCTTGCATAAATACATGAGTTATAGGTTTAGCTCCTTTAAATACATATTGTAGACTAGAAATTCTTGAGTTTGTAAAAGGTTGTTGTGACATGTGACATTATGAGATTGATGGTATCCACTAGAGATGTCAAGTTAAGGGATGGCGTGACTTTACAAGATTAGAATATAGTTACATGTAGGATGACACGTACACCTCAATCATTCTACAAGGGGGGGTTGGATGGCCGAATGGTTAGCATGCGTTGTATCATAAGGTCTTTCATTGATTCAACATCATCACAATGAGAGCACAAGTTATGTAAGGCGCTGGCTTGCTTACTAGGGGGTCTGTCATTGAGTCAAGTGGCGTGGTTTTGATTCCCTGCTTGCACATGACAAGGAGTGGGGTCGCCTGTCCAACCTTGTGGGTTTTCTCCGGGTCCTCTGCTTTTCTCCCACTACGAAAGAGTCCTACACGTAAGTGCATTATTGAAATGACCTAGTTTGTATGGAGTGGACATGACACAAAGACTAAATAAACAACTAAATCAACTTAGGAATTAAAATGTCAGTCAACTAGCTTAGTGTCTGTCCTCAAGCAGAACAAGCGTTGATTTAGGAATTAAAACGTTAGTCAGCTAGCTTAGTGTCTGTCCTCAAGCAGAGCTAATTGTAAACAGATAGGTTTAGTTTAGTATGGACCTAGATAAGTTGCTCTAAAATGTATATATATATATAGACCTACACAAATATGTCATAGAGACCCTAGTAGCATCCTTTACTCTGGTGTCCTCCGACTGTACTGTAGGTGCATGCTAATTATTGAAATACAATTAAACCATAAACATGTATACACAAATATGGCTTTGTGTCCCAAGTAACTTCCTTTCCTTTGGTGCCCTACGACTGCTTAAAGAGACCCATACACTGTAGGTGCAAGCTAATTATTGAAATACAATTGAACCATATGTTTACACAAATATGTCATAGAGTCCCAAGTAACTTCCTTTCCTCTGGTGTCCTCTGACAGCTAAAAGAGACCCATACACTGTAGGTGCAAGCTAATTATTGAATTAGATTTGAGAGAGAGAGAGAGAGGGAAATTAGGTTTAACGTCCACTCGACACAAACTAGATCATTTCGGGACTAACATCTGGTTCTAATTTATTTCAATAATTTGCTTGCTCGTAGGGGTCTTTAGCAGTGGGAGGAAACTGGGGAAAACCCACGGGGTTTGGACAGGTGACCCAACTCCTTGTCACATACAACCAGGGAATCGATACTATGTACGCCAGTTGACTCAATGACAGACCTTATGATGCACCGTGCACAAGCTAACCATTTCGGCCACCCCCCCCCCCCCCCCCCCCTAGTAAGTAAGTCAGTGCCTTACATATCAAACTATCATGTATCGACCAGCCCATTTTTAGTACCATAACTTGTGCTCTGATTGTGATGTTGTCGCTGGATTATATCTGACCTTTGATATAATCTAAATTTTATTTATCTTTTTTTTTTTCAGTGCTTACCATGGTAACCTAGGAAACCTAATTGAGATCAGTCCATTAAAATTCAAAAAGTTGAACTTGCAGAAAAAGGACTGGGTCCATGTTGTAAGTTTAAAATGTTGGTTCATTTGTTGGTCGGTCGTCTTGTGAACATTTATAGAGAGAGAGAGATATGGGGTTTAACGTCCAGTCGACACAAACTAGGTCATTTATGGACTAACACATGGTTCAATTTTTATTTCAATAATTCGCTTGCGCATAGGGGTCTTTAGCAGTGGGAGGGAAACCGAAGGACCCGGAGAAAACCCATGGCGTTGGACAGTCGACCATACTCTTTGTCACGTACAATTTTTATTTCAATAATTTGCTTGCGCGTAGGGGTCTTCATCAGTGGGAGGACCAGGAGAAAACCCATGAGGTTGGACAGGTGACCATACTCCTTGTCACGTACAACCGGGGAATTGAGTTAACACTTTATACAGATTGAAACCAATCTTTTGAAAATTTATGTTTTGATTATTTTGAGATGAAACGGCCTGTGTTATGACCCTTGATCAGTTTATATGGGCAGAATGAAATGAAATGGGGTTTATCGTCCTATTGTTCTGCTCCTAAGTTCCCAGCATCACTTTTCAAACAAAGTTCATGCATTACACACCATAGAATAATGTATTGCTAAATAAAATGGGGTTTAACGTCCTACTATTCTGCTCTGACTGGGCTAATGAAGACTGGCATACGCCATACAGTGTGCTATGAGAAACATTTTGCCTGGACAGCGGCGCTAAGGCCTACTCTTACATCAAGTTCTAACTGACAAGGGATCTTTTACGTGCACATCAATGTGTACATTGGACCTCAGTTCTTGTCCTATCCCAACGACAGCTGTCCTCACCACTGATAAGGGGAACTTTCTTGGCCAACACTAGGATCCAATCCGCGACCTTCAGGCCAGCAAGTTAGCATCTTACTCACTTATCCACCGTGGATCCAAAATATATTGAAAGAGGTTAGTCTAAAAATGACTTAAAATGAGGAATGGGGTTTAACGCTGACTCGACACAAACTAGACCATTTTGGGACTAACATATACCTCATTCCATTCTTTGTTATTTTACACAACAGAATCAATGCTTGTTTGCGATTGTTTAAATTTTATATCATGATTTCTTGCTCCCATTAATTTCAACTGTCTTTTTGGGTGTGCTTTGTTTTTTGTGGAGAGAGGGGTGCGCAGCAGCTCGAACAGCTGTGGCTCCGTGAATAAGGGCAAAACTACCGCCATTGCACATGGACTGGCATATGCTAATCTTCAACAGCCCTGTCGGTGCAGAAAGTTAGGATGTTAAACCCCATTTCCATTTCATTCCATTTATTTGTTACATTAATATTTTAGGCCTCGTGTCCCGATACATACCGAGGGAAATATCGTGAAGGTGAAGTGGCAAATCCTAGTCTCTCATATTCCAATGAAGTTAAACAAATTATAGAGGAAGTGCAGGACCAGGGTAGAGGGGTGAGTATTCCTTTAATATATGTAGGACCAGGGTAGAGGCGCGAGTACTCCTTTAATATAGGTAGGACCAGGGTAGATTGGTGAGTACTCAGTAGAAACAAGTTAGAGGCGTTAGTACTCCTTTAATATATGTATAAACAGGGTAGAGGGGTGGGTATTCAGTGGAAACAGGGTATAGGGGTGAGTACTCCTTTAATATATGTATAAACAGGGTAGAGGGGTGGGTATTCAGTGGAAACAGGGTAGAGGGGTGGGTATTCCTGTACAAACAGGGAAGAGGGGTGAGTACTCCTTTAATATATGTAGAAACAGGGTAGAGGGGTGGGTATTGCAGTGGAAATAGGGTAGAGGGGTGGGTACTCCAGTACAAACAGGGTAGAGGGGTGTGTACCCCAGTAGAAATAGGGTAGAGGGGTGGGTACTCCAGTAGAAATAGGGTAGAGGGGTTGGTACTCCAGTACAAACAGGGTAGAGGGTTGGGTAGTCCAATAGAAACAGGGTAGAGGGTGTGTACCCCAGTAGAATTAGGGTAGAGGGGTGGGTATTCCAGTAGAAATAGGGTAGAGGGGTTGGTACTCCAGTACAAACAGGGTAGAGGGTTGGGTAGTCCAATAGAAACAGGGTAGAGGGGTGGGTACTCCGGTACAAACAGGGTAGAAGGGTTGAATACTCCAGTACAAACAGGGTGGAGGGGTGAGTACCTCTGTAGAAATAGGGTAGAGGGGTGGTACTCCAGTGAAAACAGAGGGGTGGGTACTCTAGTACAAAGAGGGAAGAGGGTCGGGTACTGGACAGTGGAAATAGGGTAGAGGGGTTGGTACTCCTGTAGTTTTATCCACAAACTATTAATACTAACCAGTTCCTACATTATATATATATTTTTTATTTCAGATAGCTGTGACTTAGTTTAACCACAAAGATAAATATATATTTCAGATAGCAGCGTTTATGTGTGAACCTCTAATGTCTGCCAGTGGCATCATCACTTTCCCAAAAAATTATCTTCAAAATGTTTACAGGTACGTTTTTTTTTTTTTTAAATTTGATCTGAAAGACCAGAGTCCCTGCTACCAGCCATATGTATCACAATTGAACTATTTCCACATTAGACATATGGATTTTTAAAATCTGAACAAATACCAGTTTGTTTGGTTTTTTGTAGGTGGGGGGCGGGGGTAATGCTTTAACTTGTTGGTGTTAAATCACAAGGTCTCTCTCTCTCTCTCTCTCTCTCTCTCTCTCTCTCTCACACACTCTCTCTCTCTCTCTCTAAGTACTATTGCTACAATAACAAAGTCTTGATTTTCTATTTTAACTTTAAACAAAGATATTACAAATATTTTCTTATCGACTTAATAGTCGGCCATCCGATGAGCAAGAAAGTTGGTTATAGGCTTGATGTGTTAATAAATGTCTCGATATAAGGTTTGAATCTAGAAAAAAAGACCTGCAATAGGCAGATTTAACTCATGTATAATATATATTTAAACATACATTATGCAAGAGCTAAATCTGTCTATTGCAGGTCTTTCTTTAGGCCTGAAATATTATCTAAATTATTAATTAGACATTAATTAACCTAGCCAGACCATAACCAACTCTAGATGCCATAGTTAGCCTGCGATATTTACTGGATTTGAATCCGATCTGCTGCTCAACGCTCATTGATGATTAAATCCAAAAATGGATAACCAAGACTATGTTTTTTATCGTACCGACTTTAGTAATGATAATCAAGACTAGGCGTAACATTCTCGGTTCAGAGTGGAGCAATTTGACTGAACTTTTCAGCAAATTGCCTTTACATTATCTAGTTTTTAACTATTATAGTGAGAACTGCCAACTCTTTATCTAATCTCCCATAATGTATCTTTAATATTCCCATATTAGGGTAAATAATGACATAACTAGTGCGAGGAGTTCAAATGTTTTATCTTGGTCAAAACATCGGAGGAAATCTTAGTACATTGTGGCTTGTGATAACGAGGACTTACATCAGACAAACGTCACTAATAGATATTTTTATCAATATGGTACACATTACTAAGTCTTCAGTTTGATCTGTGACTAAGTTACAGAAAACTATCAACAATTGAAGCTATAAGACTTCCTACTGTGGACAGTAGCAATGTAATCAGTCCATATTTTTAGCCATAATAAAAGTTAGAGTTGAGAAAGATATGAAACCTTACCTGCACTAGTGCTGGGTATTACCACTGCATCACGATACGATGCATATTGCGATTCAGGTGCTACAATACGATTTGTACCAATATTCATAACCAGGTGAATATTTACCAAGAAAACAACAGGGTAAATGAATAATTGATATTTTTAGTCCTGCCAATGTCGAATAAATAAAACTGTTTTATATCATGATATTGATGTGGATCAAAATAAGGAGCAAAATAATCTTGCACCTAGGAGTAATGTGTCATGTGGACAATTAAGAGAGACAACAAATGTTACTCGGATTTTATGGGGTGCCCATACTGATATGGGCACGTTGGTCGGTGGTCCTTTACTTCGTATTGCGTCCAATGGAAAGGGCGGCTTGTTGGACACCCTTTGGGTGGCGGGGGGGGGAGGCATTTATTTGCCAGGGGAGACACCTGCACCCTTGCTAGCTACAGGCCTGCCAGTCTTCATTAGCCTAGTTGCCTCTCCCTGCTCAAACTCAATTTAGAGGGTCCAGGGCTTCTGCAGTGTTGCAAAATGGCACTATAAGTATAACACTTTAAAGGAACTAAATCGCTAATGTTTGGGACCTAGAAATTGTCAAAAATGGGTCGCAACGTATATTATACTGTAATATGAATGTATAAATTGTGTTTTCAATGTTGAAGATTTTGGATGATATTGAGTTAGAGACTTAGCTACTTTAATATTGAATTTCTACCCACCTCATCTCTGAAAATCCTAGATCTTCCCCTAATTTTCCCCTGTGATTTTTTTCGCAAGATATTTTATTGGTATCCAATATATTCCTACCGGTAGAGCTTGGATATTTTATTGGTATCCAATATATTCCTCCCGGTAGAGCTTGGATATTTTTTCCACTCACTGTTAAATGTATTATTTTAATGTTCATGGCTGTGTATTTAAACATACATTATGTAAGAGCTAAATCTGCCTATTGCAAGTCTTTCTTTAGGCCTGATATGTTATATAAATTAATAATTAGAAATAATTTACTTATCAAGATCATAATCAAGTCTTGATGGTATATTTTAATTTAATTTAAAAATGGAGAAGCGAGACTTAGATTTGAACAACCAGTATGATAGTTGCAATTATTGCACACATCTTGTCAAACCTTCACAGGCTAATATCTTCGCTCGCAATAGAGTAATTTGAATGAAATTTTCAAACTATTAATTTTACATGATCTATTTTCGAACTATTATAGCAAGAATGTCTAGCTCTTTTATCTTAGAAATCTTACATACTGTATCTTTAATTAATTCTGTCTGAAAAACTGAGTTACCAAAATTAATTTCTTTTCAATTGCTTCTAAATTTAATTTGAGCTTCCCAGAGATAATTCATAATACCGGTAATTTTTTTTTCCGACCACTGACATGGCTCTTTTTATCATCTGTGCGATGGAATATATTTTAATTAAATATCTTCTTTCATCTCACGCCCAGGTTTCATTCGATGAGATGATTCTTTGTTCTCTTCTGAGATTAGTCTTATAATACCGCTATACAATTACGATAATTGTAATTGGTTCATTTACTTGGTAAAGACGAGAGAATCGAAGTCCATAATAGAGTAATTATATACTATAGAACACACTGATTAGCAGTTAAAGGACAATATTGGTGCCAGTCATTATCACATATGTGATAGAAGTGGTTAAACACGTTCCAAATATAATTTTATCACAGAGATCATTGCTACGATAGATGAATAATCAATGTTTCAACAATAGGAAGTGACAAGCGCAAAAGGAAAACACGAGTTATCCCTCTATATAACTGGCTGAAGTGACAGGTGATAACAGATACATGGGCGAATTTCAATAAACTTATATTTTCATACAGTACGGTATTAAAAAATTGCTGTCATCAATAGGCGATTTGCCGTGGGGTCAGTTGGTCCCAGCGGGAATTTATGCTGTCAACGTTTTTGGCTAATTGCTAGAGCTGTATGTGACTATTTGTTTTTGCCCACAATGGAATGAAAGTCATGACTCAACTCAATGTATACAAACTCGCAATTTTTGGGTCAGATTCAGGCGTTTAGATTTAAGTTTCTCGAACCCTTCAAATTTTCAAGCCTGAGCAGGGGAGGGGGGGGGGCGCGGATCCCCTGGACCCCCCCTCTGGATCCGCGCCTGCAATGATCTCTGTGATAAAATAATATTTGGAACGTGTTTAACAAAGTTCTATCACATATGTGATAATGACTGGCACCAATATTGTCCTTTAATATTCGCTAGGCTGCTACAACCACTGATAGGAATGACATCAGTCGGTGCGGCTTAAGGAGCCCCAAATATTCACTAGGGTGCTACAATCATTGATAGGGATGACATCTGTGCGGCTTAATTAATGAGCCCCACATATTTGCCAGGCTGCTAAAATCACTAATAGGGATGACATCGGTGCGGCTTAATGAGTCCCCAATATTAACTATTTTCCTTCTGCAAGAGGGGGGTGAATGGCTGAATGGTTTGCATGTGCGTGCTGCATCATACAGTCTGTCATTGAGTCAACTGGCGTGGTTTCGATTCCCTGGTTGTACGTGCAACGTGACAATGAGTAGGGTCGCCTGTCCAACCTTGTGGGTTTTCTCCAGGTCCTTTGGTTTCCTCACACTGTTAACGACCCCTTCGTAGAAGCGAATTGTTGAAATAAAATTTAACCATAAGTTAGTCCCAAAATAACCTAGTTCGTTTCGCGTGAACATTAAACCGTTTTATGTCAATTAGCAATCGTCAGCAGACACAATTTAATCTTCCAACACTCATAACTTTGCTCAGAATAAAGTAATTTGAATGAAAGTTTCAATATATACATGTTTCATTATCTATTTTTGAACTATTATTGCAAGAACAACCCTGCTCAGTATCCAAATCTTACATAACACATCATTGAAATATTGTTTTTAGAATCTCATATTCATGCGAAGAGCCCCGGGGAAGAACGATCTAAGTCACTTTTTCAACGATCCCCAGCAAATTGTATATTAGCTTTCTGTGGAACAATTAATTTCAGGTAAAAATGATCAGAGTCACATCAAACCAAGGCCCTTCTGAAATGGCCTCCCGGACAAATACAAGTCCATCATATTTATTTGACCTTAATTTGGCTGAAAAGTGGCCCCATCATATTTATTTCACCTTAATTTGGCTAAAAAGTGAAAGTCAGTTATTGTATTGGTAATTATGATTCGTATTAAACATCATTTTGAAGTTGTAATTAAACCCACTCGTTGTTCTGTTCGCGTTAAGCATTCTCGTCCAAATGTCTGTTTTGCCTTTTATGCGAAAAGACAAAAATGTGACTTAGATTGTATTTCCCTTTGACTCTTCATGTATCTTTAGCTTTTAAAATGACTTATTGCGTGTTTTTTTTAAGTCTCTGATTGTCAAACCAGGGATTTTTAATCCCTTACATACTGAAATATTATGAAAGATGAATCCGTAAAATGATAATATCTGGGTCAATATATTCCGTTGAGTAATAACCAAAGAGGATCAGCAGCTTGATTAAATGATTGGTAGTTTTCTTTAAACGTCAATGAAATAATACGCAATTTATTTCATTTCAAAAGATCAGTCAGTAAGTTTTTTTTAACCCCAATGAATGAAATAATCCTTTTGACATGATTTAAAGCTGTTTACACTGTAAAATGATTCATATTGTTTCGTCATTTGATTATTTTATCTTCATGAAAAAAACTAACTTAAACAACAATCCTTTGAAGTCTACATCCCAATCCTTTGAAATCCACATCCCCTCGTAGTAATTTGTGGAAGCCGATGTCTTTTATTTCAGGGATTAGGTTTTTATTGTCGGGTGTTGACGTGATTTGTTATCTGATCAAATGGAAATAAAATGAAATAAAATGAAATTAAATGAAATGAAGTTAATACCTGCTACGAGTTTCTCGTGAAATGAAACAGGGATTAACGTAGAAAGAGGATAACGTCCTACTGCCCCGTGAAATGAAACATGAGTTAATAATAGTAGAACTTTTAACATCTGTTAAATGAAAATTGGACACTCATTATCAAAATTGAATGGTCAGCTTTAAACTGGACAGAAGTACAAATTAAACGATTTATGGTGATTTTAAACAGTTTTTACGAATTTTTAAACAAAGATTGGATATTAAACGACTGTGAAAGAAATTAGTGCTAGATACACAAGATTAAACGATACCTGGGTTACAGTGTAACCTATATATGTAGAAATTCCCTTTTTAATGAAATACAGGGTTAATGTCCTACTGCACTGTGGCATGCATGTAAAAGATCCCTTGACAGTTGGAATATGATATAAGAGGAGGCCATAGTGCTGTTGCTTGGGCAAAATTACCCTCATAGAACACTGTATGGCGTATGCCCGTCTTCATTATCCCAATTGGAGCAAAACAGTAGGATGTTAAACCCCATTTGATTCCCTTTTCACTGTTGATGCAAGGGAGAGTCCTAGGAATATTTTTAACCATGGGGCCCCAAGCAAAATTAATTCAGCCCTGATTAAAATACATCTAATTAAACATTTTCAGACATGTTCGAGAGAATGGTGGTGTGTGTTTGGCTGATGAGGTACAAACGGGGCTCGGAAGAACAGGTGAAAATTTCTGGGCGTTCCAGTATCATGGTAGGTTCATTTGATGATTTTCAGGAATGTTTTGTTGGGTCTAAATCTGGATCTTATAAGGCATCTGTTACAGAAATGAAATGAAATGGGATTTAACGAACTGCGGTTCTGCTCTGACTGGGCTAATGAAGACGGGAGTACCTGTCAGACAATGGACCTTATAATGGTCGGGGAGGGTTGGATGGTTGAATGGTTAGCATGTGCGGGCTGTATCATAAGGCCTGTCATTGAATCAACTGACGTGGTTTCGAATCCCCGGATGTATGTGACAAGGAGTAGGGTCGCCTGTCCAACCTCGTGGGTTTTCTCCGGATCCTCCTGTTTCCTCCCACTGCTAAAGACCCCTACACGCATGCGAATTATTGAAATAAAATTAAACCATATGTTACTCCCAAAATGACCTAGTTTCTCTCATAATGGTCAAACACAAATTATCACACAACTTTTTTATTATAACATATACCTTGTGTAATAATAATTTGTGCCTGACAAAGTCTATGACAGGTGCCCTATGTCCTTATGTGATAACTATTTCCAATGATCAATTAAGTCTAAAACACTGTTTATGTTGTTACTATGTTTATATAACAAATACAGCAAACTACAAAGGTTAAATACTGCAAACTACAACATCTATTCTATAATAGAAACTTTAGGAGTTATCAAAATATCCACGTTCTGAGTTTAACATCCTTTATGACTCTGACCTAACAGCTTAAACATCACATTTTGTCTCTATCCAAGCCTCTCAGCCGAGGCGGCTGTGGGTATGACATTCCCCTAGGAACTCACTGATTATGTCTTTTCTACGGTCTCACCATGATGTCTGAAGGGAAAGTTAACCCCGCTCTTATTATATAAAGATACGTGCATGAGTCATGTATTGAGCCCCGGAAAAATGACTAGGTACTTCCTTTATCGGATTGGTCAGCTGCACAGACACTACCCTGGATTTAAACCCATTGTAATAATATGGGCACAAGGAGGATATGGGATTACCATATTTGTATTAGCAGACTATGATATCATTGCCCGATTTTAAATTACCAGACATCTTTGTTAGCCTAGTTCTCGTTGTCACTGGTACTAGCTAACAACTTCAATACATTATCCAGACCATCTTTTTAGAGAACTCAGATAACTTCAACTGTATGTAAGCCCTATAGTTCTACTTATCTGTACCAAACTACTTAATGAAGACAGTTATACAGCCAGCTTTTTATCTAAATCTTATATAAGGCATCAAAAATATATCTGGAACTGCTCCTTTAAATCACTTCGATTCCCCTGGTCGTACGTGACAAGGAGTAGGTCATCTGTCCAACCTCCTGGCCGAGTGGTTAGTGCGTGCGTATAGTATCATGAGGTTTGATTAAGTCAACTGGCGTGGTTTTGTTTCCCCGGTCATCTGTCCAACCTCATGGGTTTTCTCTGGGTCATCTGGTTTCCTCTCACTGTTAAATTATTGAAATACAATTGAACCATATGTTAGTCCCAAAATGACCTAGTTTGTGTTGAGTGGACATTAAACCCCATTTTTCTCTCTTGAGCTCTCCCTTTAAATCACATTCCTATCTCTTTTTTTTATCATATTATAAAGAAATGAATAAAAACGACTAATGTTTGTATTGTAGTTTGTGTCAAGTGGACTTAAACCCTATTTCTCTCTCTCTCTCTCTTTAAATCACATATCCATCTCTTTCTGTCACATTATAAAGAAATGTATAAAAGCGGCTAAAAATTATGGTAATACAATCCTCAAAGAAATAACATCTTGTCATGTTGTTTGTTTTGTAATGATAAATGAGTCTCACAGTTTTTTGGGGTTTTTTTCTGATTTAGAATTGACACTAGCTGAAGACAAGTACATGTGTCATAAGGCCATACAATAAAATTATTCTTGTTACAGACAATCCTTTGACCAAAAATATATGATGTGGGAGTGAGTTTTTTTTATTACTGTGTTTTTATTTTATCAAAGGATCACTGCTTGATTAACAATGACTTTTGTTTATGATTTTGGGTAATTTTAAATGATTTTTTCGAATTTTTAAGCGAAGATTTGATTTTAAATGAACGTAAAAGAAATTAGTGCTAAATACACAGAAAGAGAGAAATGGGTCCAATCGACACAATCTAGGTCATTTCGGGACTAACATATGGTTCAATTTTATTTCAATAATTCGCTTGCGCGTAGGGGTCTTTAGTAGTGGGAGGAAACCGGAGGATCCATAGAAAACCCAAGAGGTTGGACAGGCGACTCTACTCTTTGTCACATACAAACGGGGAATCAAAACCATGCCAGTTGACTCTATGGCAGACCTTATGATACTACGTACACGCGCTAACCACTCGGCCATTCACCCCCACCCCCACCCCCGGTCTGATTGGGAACCAGATTATTTTTTTTATATGGCCTTATTATTAGATGAAAAAAATCTAGTTAGGAAACAAATAGTGGAAACAAAAAATGTCATAGACCTCATTTTCTAAACTAGATTCTTCTTGTCATATGTAGAGGAAAACTAGAATTGACATTAAAATAAAATGAAATGAAATGAAATGGGGTTTAACATCCTACTGTTCTGCTCCTATACTGGGCTAATGAAGACTGGCATATGCCATACGATGTGCTATGAGGGAAATTTTGCCCGAACAGCGGCACTACGGTCTACTTATATATCAAATTCCAACTGTCAAGGGATCTTTTACGTGCACGCCAATGGGTACACAGGACCTCCGGAAAATCTGGATGAACTTTCTCGGCCAATGCAGGGACAGGGTTCCCGCGGTCCTTGAAAATCCTTTAATATCCTTAAATTTAAAATTTCATTTTCAAGGTCTTGAATATCCTTGAATTTCGCGGAAATAGGAAAATATCCTTGAATTTCTGTTGAGATCCTTAATTTTGTTTCAAATGTCTTCAATTCCTTTTAAATATGAGATTATAACGATAGTTGGTAATGTTTTGGTTATTTTTAAGATGAAAAATTGTAACATTAGGCTAAAAAATGTCCATGTGAATCCTTGAATTTGACGTATATTTATCCTTGAATATCCTTGAAAAAATGTTTGACGAAGCCGCGGGAACCCTGAGGGATAAGATGCTGGCTCACTACCCTGGAGATTGGGTTTTCAATCCCTGCATTGGCCGAGAAAGTTCATCCAGATTTTCCGGCGTGGTTCCCCTTTATCAGTGATGCAAGACAGAGGGCCTGACAAGGACAGCTGTTTAGTCGTCCGGATAGGACAAATAAAGAAGGTCCCGTGTACACATTGGCATGCACATAAAAGATCCCTTGACAGTTGGAATTCGATATAAGAGTAGACCATAGTGCCGCTGTCTTATAAGTCCAGTTTGGAGCAGAACAGTAGGACGTTAAACCCCATTTCATTTTATTTCATTTCTATCATGGTCCTTTAATGTAGGGTGTTTACTTTCATCCGTGCGTTCACTGTTTTTAACTTACGTCAATAATTTTATACAATATTTTTGTTTGTTTCAGATGTTGTTCCTGATATTGTGTCAATAGGTAAACCAATAGGAAATGGACATCCAATGGCTGTTGTCATAACAACCAAAGAGATTGCAGACACACTTGTGGAGTTTGGAAGCACAGTGAGTATATACATTTATAACTTTGTGAAGTAGAAGTGGTTGTGCCAGTCTGCTTATTAATATGTAGTTATCTCCCTTGAGTGATAGCGGGGGTTGGATGGCCGAATGGTTAGCACGTGTACACTGTATCATAAAGCCTGTCATTGAGTCAACTGACGTGGTCACCTCTCCAACCTCGTGGGTTTTCTCCGGGTCCTTCGGTTTCCTCCCACTGCTAAAGACCCCTACACGCAAGCAAATTATTGAAATAAAAAATAAATAAACCGTATGTTAGTCCCGAAATGACCTAGTTTGTGTCGAGTGGACGTTAAACCCCATTTCTCTCTCTCTCTCACCGTAAAGACTGGGGGATCACGGTGCCTAAGTGGGTAAGTTGCTGGCTCGCTAACCTGGAGGTCGGGTGTTCGATCCCTGCATTGGCCGAGAAAGTTCATCCAGATTTTCCGGCGTGGTTTCCCCTTGTCAGTGATGCGTATGCCCGTCTTCATTAGACCAGTTTAGGAGCAGAACAGGAGGACGTTAAACTCCATTTCATTTCATTTGCGTAGAGACTAGAGACTGGTTTTCATACACTGGTTTCTAATAGCCCAGTTGGTGCAGAAAGTAGAGTATGATGTAAAGTACTCTCTATATTTTTATATTAGTTACTTTTTTTAACGAATAAGTTAAATTTTAAATATGTGTAGTCGTAGTGAGTGTTAGGATTATAAAAATAAACAGAAATTGAAAAAGGAAGGGGTTTGGAGTGTGTTTATTGCTTTTTACCGTTCATTGTGATTTTCCGCCGTGGTTTCCCCTTGTCGGTGGTGCAGGTCGGAGATATAAAAAAACTGAGGCCCCGTGTATACATTAACGTGAAAGATGAAAGATCCCTTGGCAATAGGCCATAGTGCTGCTGCCCGGGCAAAATTGTCCTCATAGCACACTGTATAGCGTATGCCCCTCTTCATTAGCCCAGTCGGAGCAGAAAAGTAGGACGTTAAACACTATTTCATTTATTTATTGCTTTTTCGTAAAAAAAAAAATTTTTTGTAGTTTGGCGGTAATCCTGTATCCTGTGCTGTTGGAATGGCCGTATTGGATGTGATACAGAATGAGATGTTGACATCCTCGGCTAAATCTGTAGGAAAATGTCTACTGGATGGATTTCGAGCTATTTTACCTCATCATTCTATGATGGGAGATGTAAGGTATGTTTTACCAGACTGGCTGCCCACCAATCTGTTTCACAGAGGATTACGAAAGTCTTCTAATATCTCTGTAAAAGATGACTACCTTCAACACGTGACATCTCATCACGCAGCATCAATTGTTGGCTCAAGGGGGCGTGCATTGTTTACATAAGACCTTACTGGTTTGGGCGAAATGGAGCCTTATACTCATTTTAATACCCATTTACACTAAATAGGAAGTATTTATTTTTCTAATACATAAAAAAAATGTTTTAGAATTTAATTTGTCGGAGGAAAAAAGTTAATATTTGTGGCTCATTAAGTTGCACTGATGTCATATCTTTATCAGTGACTGTCGCGGCCTAGCGAATATTCACTGCTGATCAGTGTGCGCTGCCAACATGATCATGTATCAGACAGGTCCTGCGGGTCTGCGCTTGGAAAATGTTTGTTTCAGACAATGATCAAATATTACAATTTGATATCAAATGAACATGAAATGAAAGGGGGTTTAACGTAGTACTGTTTTGTTCCGAACTGAGCTAATGAAGACGGGCATATATGCTATACAGTGTACTATGAGGGAAATTTTGCCCTGACAGCGGGCTTACGGCCTACTCTTATATCGAATTCCAACTGTCAAGGGATCTTTTACATGCACGCAAATGTCTACACAGGACCTCGTTTTTCCAAACGACTAGACACAATTGGATATCAATATTACAATTTGATACATGCATTATAGTAATGTGAAATTAGTGAATTTAATATCACAATTTGATGTGAAAATTAGCCAATATTTCGAGTGAACCTGGAAATTGTATACAAAGTTTTTTTTTATGATTGATTTTAGTAGCCTAGGATGTCCTCTTTCACCCTTGAGTGTTTTGAGAAATTCAAGATGGCGTCCAAGATGCCGCCATTTCAAATAATACCCTATAACCCCCATAGTATTTAGTCTAAGATGATAATTTTAGTGCCTAACCATATGTTTCTGAGGTCAAGGAATACACTGATATTGTTCATTATGTTGTGGGGTGATTAGATAATATTAGTAAAATCCAAAATGCCGGATAATATGGCCCTTTAAATCGTTAGCGGCGGTTGAGAGCCTATATTTCACCCGACGAAATAAACGCGAGAATTCTAAAATACATCTCAAAAGAAATCAGTCATCCACTTTGCCAACTTTTTAAACTATCATTAGATCTACACATTGTACCAAACATTTGGAAATTTGCAAACGTGGTCGCTATATTCAAAAAAGGCTCTCCAAACGATTGTAGTAATTATAGACCAATCTCCCTCTTAAGTATAATAGTCAAAATTTTTGAAAAAATCATCCACAAACATGTCTTTAACTTCCTTAGAGATAACTCAATACTAACACCTGTCCAGAGTGGCTTTCTTCCAGGTGATTCTACCATATTTCAACTAATCGACCTAACACACTTCTTCTGTCGAGCCATTGACCAACATCAATATACTAGAATAGTCTTCTGTGACATCAGCAAGGCCTTTGACAGGGTTTGGCATGCCGGACTCTGTCACAAGCTGGATGCTGCGGGGGTTCGAGGAGATCTACTGCTCTGGTTCGTAGATTATTTAAAAAATAGACAACAATGTGTAACCATCAGTGGCACCTCCTCGGACCCCAGAAGCATCCCTGCTGGTGTTCCACAGGGATCTGTACTAGGCCCTCTTTTATTCTTAATATACATAAATGATATTGTGAACAATATAAATTCAAACATTAGATTATTTGCTGACGATACCTCTTTATACTTAAAAATTGAAGACCCAGAGGCAAGTGCTGCTACCATTAACGATGACTTAAATCGAATCAGAAATTGGGCTGAGACATGGCTGGTAACTTTTAACCCCCTAAAAACAGAGACACTGACTATTACTACTAAACCCCACATAGTTAACCCACCATTATTTATGAACCAGGTACAAATCAAAGAAGTAAGTGAACATAAACATCTAGGTCTTATCTTTCAAACTAACTGTAAATGGAATAATCATATAGATAGCATTGTAAGCAAAGTATCCAAACTAGTAAATTGCCTTCGTTCTCTAAAATATCGATTAAATAGAAAATCTTTAAACATAATATACTCTTCTTTTATCCTTCCACACTTTGATTATGCCGACATTATCTGGGATGGGTGCAGTGATTATTTAGCTAACAAACTAGAATCCCTACAATTAGATGCACTGCGCACTATCTGTGGGGCGGTAAGAGGTACTAGCCATGCCTTACTCTATAAAGAGACTGGGTTTGTTCCACTCTCGGAAAGACGTCGACGTCATAAATTAAAATTAATGTACAAAATTACTAACAACCTCGTTCCATCATATCTCTCTGACCTATTAGAACTGTCCTCTACCCCTATCAATTATACCCTTAGAAACAAAGATAAACTAAAGGAAACCAGATGCAGAACCGAAATTTTCTCAGAGTCCTTCATCCCTTCCAGTATACGAGAATGGAACAAACTTAACGTTGAAATTAGAAACTCTCGATCCCTTGCTATCTTTGGAAATTCACTAAATAAATTAGACACCATCGTGCCATCATATTACTATACTGGGATACGAAAATCACAAATAATCCACTGTAAACTAAGATTATGCTGCTCGAACCTACAAGGCCATAAATTCCTCAGACACGTCGATGATAGCCCTGCTTGCCTCTGTGGTCACAAATTCGAAGATACCGAACACTATTTACTCGTATGCCACTTATATTCAGATGCAAGAAAACGGACAATCCATAACCTTCAACATAATCATAAAACAATCAGTTGTCTGTTGTATGGGTCAACAAAACTTAGTCCAGAGATAAACACACTTATTTTCCAAGAAGTCCAACAATTTATTTCCTTATCAAAAAGATTTAAATCTCCATAAACAACTCTTAAGTCATTCCAAGCCCTGCACTCTGTGTAATCATCTAAGTCTCTATATTATCCATGATGTATCATATATGCTCTATAATTATGTAATTATGTATATATGTATGTATGTATGTATGTAAATATTTATAATGTGTACATGTACCTAAATCAGAGAGAGGGGTCACACATAGGCATAGCCTGTTCCCCAATCCTAATTCAGATTTAATGAATAAAAATATTGTTTAAAAAAAAAAAAAAAAACCAAATTATATCTAGAGACAAACTATATATTTCTGGATATAGGAGCATATAAGTGATTTGATAACACATCAGGAGATCCAGGGCCTGAAAAGGGGGCACAGGCTGTTTTGTGAACATTTAAAAAACCAAATTCTACCCGCAAAACACGATTTAAAGATGACTTATTAGACCACTCAGCCATGCCTTAGAGATAGTATTTAGTATGTTACATATTATATGTTTTAGGGGTCAAGGAATGATTATACCTGTTGAAATTGTTTAAAGTTACCTGTAAATATTTATATTTTAGGGGTCAAGGAATGATTATAGGGGTTGAACTCGTAATGGATAAGGAAAGTAAAAAACCAGCTAAAGAAGCAGCAGAAATACTTTGTTACAGGTAATATATATTTACCTGACAGGTGTTATATTACAGGTAACATCTGACTGGTGTGAAATATATACATGTATATTCTGTGACAGGTGTGAAATATATACACTTATATACCATAATAGCTTTATTTAACGTCCGCTTCCACCGAGGTGATATCGCAGACAATATATAACAGGTGTGAAAATATATACATGTATATACCAGAACAGGTAATAGAAATATATACATGAAATTGTCTTCTTGAGACTGACTTCACCTGTCGTAACCTGGAATAGATTCGGTGAATATAAATATATTTTTCCTGAATAGAATATTTACCTCAAATAGAAACGAGTTGGAAATACGTGAAACAGAGTGATTGGGACTGGCTCACCGGTTATAACCTCTAATTTTTTCAATTTTATTAAAATACAAATCTACATGAAGATCTGACCAGTTGTAGTGCGAGATCGTGTCAGGGGCCACATGAGCGGCTTTTGAACCTATGACGTCAGACATTTGATTAACCAATCAGCGTTGATGTTTCTAGTGGATATATCCACAGTTACGTGCATCGCACGCCAAGAACTCGCTGCAAGTGACCGTTTCATTGGCTATTTACTTACATCAACCAGAACGCGGGTTATATAACAACTTTTCCAGATCCTAGTGTAGTAAAGACAACTAAAACAAAATTTTGTACTATAAAAAACGAAACAAAATTATCAATTTGAAAGCAAGCTAATCGCTTAAACTTTAATTGATTACTTGTTAGTGCACAACCCATCTTCATTAGCCCAGTTGGAGCAGAAAAGTAGGACGTTAAACCCCATTTCATTTCATTTTGTTAGTGCACAACAAAAATATATTGTTTGTTGCACACTATGACAGGACTGTAAACCCCATTTCAATTTTTTTTTATTTACCAACCTTGTGAGCTTTCTCCGGGTCCTCCGGTTTCCTTCCCACTGCTAAAGAACCCTATGCGCAACAAATTATTGAATTAAAATTGAACCATATGTTAGTCCCAAAATGACCAAGTTTGTGTCGAGTGGACGTTAAACCCCATCTCTCTCTCTTTTCATTTAAGGGGAGGCAAGGGTCGACAAATGTCAATTTTGACTCAAATTATCGATTTTTTATATTTGCATATTTGTGATGTTCATTCATTTTTATTTCACTTGTAATTAAAGAAAATACATATAAAGTGGTTTATGATAGAAAAAATGCACTTTTGAACACTCTTGCAATTCAAATTTTGCTGTTTTACCTCTTTATGTCTTAATTTCTCAAAAAGTAAAATATCAACAGTCGACAACCTTACAAAAATCGTTCTTGAAAAGTTTACAACAGATATGTCTGAAACTTACACACATACTTAAGTAATGTTAGTTCCATGCCAATAAGGATTTTCAGTACTCTAAATGAATTTTTAGTGTAGTAAATTGGCATTTGAAATCCCTCATTGAAAACAACATTTTTCATAATTTTTGTTTTGTTGAATAGAATGACATGCAAGGACACAATAACAACACCATATTGATAATTGCACAGAGAAATGTCCTAGGAACATTTTAAAAAAAGTTCCAGGCTTCTACCTTTGATACTTTCAGAGAACGATTTTTTTTAAGCAGTAAAAAAATTTTTTGTTTCCATGGTAACCAGTAAAGCAGATTCCCCCAAAACTGCCGATTAGCCTATTTTGTCGATGTGAACAACTCCTGAAAATTTCAAGTTGATAGCATTATTAGAAGCCAGTTATTTTAAAATTCATATTTGTCGAGCAGTGCCTCCCCTTAAGTCCAATATTTTCATTTGCTTATTTTTCAGGGCTAAAGAACAGAATATAATATTGGCCAATGATGGACCTGAATCTAACGTGATTGTTCTCACCCCTCCGTTATGTTTTAATTGTGACAACGCAAGACGCGTCATACAAGTCTTTGATACCATCTTAAAGAGTATCGAAACAGAAGCCGCAAGCGTAGGTTTAACGAATAGCGGCATGGATATGACCCAATCGGAAACGGGTGATGTTCCGATAACTGTGATATCAGGGACGCTGGATAGGATACATCAGACGGCTTCAGACGACGACGATGGGTGTTCAGACGAAAAGAGAGCCCGTTATGAGGAAATGGATTAAATAGAATTTACAGAAAGAACTGCTTTTGAAAGAAACTGTATTTTAAAATATTGTTGATTAACAAAATCACAAAGTTAAAATTATTGTCAACAGAAATGGGGGGATAATGGTGTTATATGGAAAATATCTGATTTCTCAGTGATTAATCCAAGCAAAATATGTACTCAGATTGATTATTTAACATTTAATTAAGAAAACAAATCAAATAACCGATGCTGGATGTTCTCCCGAAATGGATTCAATCCAATTTTAAACTAAGCTCATCTGTTAGATTTCGTGATACATAAAGATGACAGTGCCTTGTTTATCTGAATATCATGATGTCATCCGAAGTCTAACTGGCGATGACCGTTTATTTCAAGATGGTGAGAAGAGAGAAATAGTGAGCAACAACATATATAGATAATAATAATAATGTACATTTGTAGAGCGCTAAATGCATCCAAAAGCCTACTCAAAGCGCCTTGAGACAATACACAGTGAACAGAAAGTCTAATTCTCATAGCATTACAGAAATAAGTGAGTCTTCATCTGTAATTTGAAAGTAGTCAACGTTTAACTTGTTTTGGACATTCAGAGGTAAATCATTCCATATTTTGGGAGAAACTACACTAAAACTTCTGTTACCAAAACGTTTCAGTTTTGACTGTGGAACAACAAAGACTGTTGTGGTTATAAGATCTCAAGGAACGATTTGTTTGATATAGTGTTAGTAATTCTGAAATGGGATGGATGGATGGATGGAATATCTAGTCATCAAATACTGAAAGGAACTGAAGCCTTTAAAAGCCTTTATAAACTGATGATAAGAGTTATGCCCCTTTATTTTTGGTAAAAATGTCTGACAAGTTAAGCCTTAATTATTTGATGTTTCTATTAGTGACTCAACTCACACAAGAGATTCATGTATCCCTCAAATCACACACAGACAATTTTGTTAGCAGGATTTATTATCATTGGGCTATTATAAACCATCTAATGGTGCAATAATTGCTTTATGCGCTGTACATCTGAATGGATTTACTGAGACATGACCCATGTGTAGTGCTGTTAAATAATTGATGTACCAGCCAACGATGCGATTATTGGTCTACACGCTGTACTTCTCACTGGATTTTACTGACACATAGCCATGTTTAGTGCTGTTAAATCATCAATGTACATCCCACGATGCGAAAAAGTAAATAAATAAATATTACATCAAAGTAGAAGTCTGAATGTCTGATGCCTGTGCAAATGTCACACAAAGTTAAATGTCTATTAAAGACATAAAACATTTACATTTTTAAAGGAAGGCTGAACTTCAATAAATTTCCCTTGGGTGTCGATTGACAGTTGGTATTTTCACTGTGAACATTAATGTTGCTGAAACTTATCGACAAGTGATGTAAGGTGAACATCAACAAATGGTGCTGAAACTTATCAACAAACGATGACAGGTGACAATCAACAATTCTTGCTGAAAGGATTGTGATAAAGAAAAGATAATTCTAAGGCCAAGTTTTTTGTCACGACCATCTATTCAAGCTCGGGGGAAGCGGGGTAGATGACTGAATGGTTAGTGCGTGCATGCTGTATCATAAGGTCTGTCATTGAGTCAAGTTGTGTGGTTTCTATTCCCAGGTTTTACGTGACAAGGAGTAGGGTCGTCTGTTCAACCTCGTTGGCTTTCTCCGGGTCCTCCGGTTTCTTCCCACTGCTAAAGACCCCTACGCACAGTTATAGTGTGGAGTTGCGTCCCCTAAAAATCACTGAGAAAATAAAATAATCCACCGATTTTCTCAACAAAAGTTATTCTAGTCATGATAGACAAGTGGTTAGGGAACTCGACTTGGATGTGCAAGGTTAGGAAGATAACCCATTTTGCCTTATTAAAGTAAATTGTCTGAGAAATGATCACATTGTTCATCTGACCAGATGTAAAATTCATTCCATCCCACTCACAAATATTTTTGTAAAAATTGTCATTTAAAACAGTTTGTGACCTTGTTATTCTGGTGATGTGTATTAATAATCACATATATCTGATATAATTAAAGTAGCTAAGTCTCTAACTCAATATCATCAAAATTCCTACTCGTTGAAAACACGAATTATTTGTCAATTAAAATCAACATTGATGTTGTTATCTTACCGGGAAAAGGTAGGCTTCTGATATCCAATATTTAAGACAAAATAAACATTGTACCAATGGTACACGAATTGTGTACCATAGTGCGTTTCAGCGTCACTTGTAACAAATGATCAGAAAGAATGAGACTAGACACATTCCACACCTCATGTCAAACGGTGACGCCATGAGAGCATGCACAATAGACTGGAATTACCAGGCGCTAGAAATAGCGATTCGGTTGAGACTCCTGCCGTATTTCGCTGGAGATAACTGATTTGAAATTAGAGCCTAAACAGAAACAATTGAATGTAAATCAGTTTACATGTATATACAATCAGATTACATTATTATATGCGTACGACCCATTTGGGTCAATTTCTAGGTCCCAAATATTAGCGATTTAGCTCCTTTAAGTATTGAGAATTATGTGTTTGAAATTTGCGTTCTGTTGTTATCTCTGTAGCCATCAAATAATCAGAAAAGATGGACGTTAAATCAGATTTTATTAAATTCATTTCCAATCTAATTAAACTGTTCAGCATCTCTGACCACATTGCCTTGTTGAATATTTCCTGTTTTTTCCCGGCTGCTCCTGTTTCCTCCCACTGCTAAAGACCCCCTACATTCAAGTGATTTATTGAAATAAAATTGAACTCAATGTTTTTCCTAAAATGACCTAGTTTGTGTCGAGTGGACCGCATTTCTCTATGTATATTTCTGTATGTATATTTGTTGAATGATCTGTTGTTACTCTGATGTATATTATCTATGTGTATTATACCCTCTGTTGTTACTCTGATGTATATTATCTATGTGTATTATACACTCTGTTGTTACTCTGGTGTATATTATCCACGTGTATTATACACTGCTGTTACTCTGGTGTGTATGATATATCCTCTGATGTATGTTACCCATGTGTATGATATAAACTCTGTTGTTATTTTTGTGTATATATGCCCTCTGTTGTTACTCTGGTGTATATGATATACCCTCTGTTGTTACTCTGGTGTATATGATATACCCTCTGTTGTTACTCTGGTGTATATGATATACCCTCTGTTGTTACTCTGGTGTATATGATATACCCTCTGTTGTTACTCTGGTGTATATGCTATACCCTCTGTTGTTACTCTGGTGTGTATGATATACCCTCTGTTATTACTCTGGTGTATATTATATACACTATGTTGTTACTCTGGTGTGTATGATATACCCTTTGTTCTTACTCTGGTGTATATGATATACCCTCTGCTTTTACTCTGGTGTGTATGATATACCCTCTCTTATTACTCTGATGTATGTTACCCATGTGCATGATATACCCTCTGTTGTTATTTTTGTGCATATGATATGCCCTCTGTTGTTACTCTGATGTGTATTATCTATGTATGTGATATACCCTCTGTTGTTACTCTGATGTATATGATTTGCCCTCTGTTGTTAATCTGATGTGTATTATCCATGTATATGATATACCCTCTGATGTTACACTGATACCCTCTGTTATGTTATCCATGTACTCTGGTGTATATTATCCCGGTGTATTTTATACCCACACTTGTAACTCTGGTGTACATTATCAATCTATACATCTATATTTGCCTTGTGCATATTTAAGGAGAGCTATTTACAGCCCCAGGCTAAATATAGAAAATGATGGCTGTGTTAATTGTCCCCCACTTTTCGAAGAAAGCAGGGGACTATTAAAATGGGTTGGTCCGTCTGTCTGTCCGTCACACTTTTTGGGATACAATAACTCATTCTAATTGAGCTAGAATGTTCAAACTTGGTATAGGTATTTATTAGGTCAATGCCTGGATGGATTTCGAAGATAAGCATTTTCTGCTTAGGGTAAGCAGAGATAAGCAATTTGATTGGTTGATGCCTTGGGACACGATAACTTTAGTTCTAATTGAGTGAGAGTAATGAAATTTGGTGTATAGTTTCATTACATCAATACCTTGACTAAGTTCGATAATGAGCATTTTCTGCCCAGGGTAAGCAGAGCGATGAGCAATTTGATTGGCCGAGACTTTGGAACACAATAACTCTCCTTCTAATTGAGCTAGAATGTTCAAACTTGGTGTAGGTGTTTATTAGGTCATTGCCTTGATGGAGTCCAAGAATGAGCATTTTTTGCTTAGGGTAAGCAGAGATATGCAATCTGATTGGTTGATGCTTTGGGGCACATAGTTTTAATTACCTTGACAAAGTTGATGATGAGAATTTTCTGCTTAGACTAAGGAGCCATAAGCAATTTGATTGGTCAAGACTTTGAAACATAATAACTCTGCTTTTAATTGAGGTAGAATGTTTAAACTTATGTAGATGTTCATTAGGTCTTGACTGAGTTCAATGATTAACATTTTGAGCTAAAGCTAAGCAGAGTTAATCAATTTCATTGGTCGATGCTTTGGGACAAGATAATCTTGATTCTATCTAATAGAGAGTGATGAAACTTAGTGTATACTTTTGAAAAAAATAAATGTGCTATTAATTAATATGTGTCATCTATTTATTTTGGGATTTCCGCGGGGGACATCAGCCTCACTGTTGGCTTGTTTATGATCATGATTGCCAAGTCTGTAATGACTCCGATCGTTTAAGCTTTAGTGCTAGATCACAAAGTCAGCTATTGAGTCAAGTGGCATGGGTTCGACAAATCCCCACTTGTATGTGACAAGGAGTAGGGTCGGGTGTCCAGCCTCATGGCTTTTCTCCGAGTCCCCCACTGCTAAAGATTCCCAGGTGGAAGTGTATTATTAAAATGAAATTGAACCATAAGCTAGTCCAGAAATGACCAAGTTTGTATCAAGTGGACGTTAATACCCCACTTGTCGCCCTCTCTTTTGTTAATATGTGATGTAATTTTGAATATATTTTACTTTATGGATAAACAAAATATGATTTGCATCTTTCTATATTACCTTCAGAGAGAGAGTGACAGAAATCTTGTATATTATATAACAGTTAAATAAAGACTCACAGTCTAGTCTGGTGTACCTGTTGGCTTGTCTTTAGACCCAGAGCAAAATAGCAGATTGTAACTTTTAGCCGTCATCGAGAAATCCAATAGTGCGGCGGTTCTGATGCTTCCATAAGGTTTCTTGATATAGAATATAATACAGAGACTTGGTTTTCCCTTTGACCTCTACGTTGTGTAAAAAACTTCAAAGATCTTGTAAGTCTACATGGTGATCTCCCCTGGCCCCTAAGCCGAGGCGACTAAAGGTATGCCCCTAACACTGCATGTTGTCTCTATTTCTTCTAAGAACCCCGCATGATGCGGATATCCCGACCTCTAAGCCGGGGCGGCTAAATGTCCCTTGAGGGCCGCTGTATGATGCCTGTTTCCCAGCCTTTCAGCCGAGGAGACTGTGGGAACGTCCTTCTGTGAATACTAAATGATGTCTGAAAATACCCCGGCCTGTAAGCGAGGCGGCTAACGGTATGTCTCACTAGGAAACCCACATAATGTCTGAAGGTAAATTTAACCCCGCCTTTTCTTATATAGAAAGTATAGATGCGCCAGCTATTAGGGCCGGGCAATTACCATTTTGGGAAAGTGTTTCGTATGGGCACCGTTTTACGTCAACATTATGATATTTAATTGGACTGATTTGTGCACGAGATGACTGGACGATAGTACCCTACTTTCAGCAATTGATGGTGGCAGGAACGGTCCGGGTGTTAGTCTTAAGAAAGTTGAATCTTGTAAAATACCTACTTCGCCCATTTCTCGTTGTCACCCATTTGTTTAACCACTTCAATATATTAAACAGAGCACCTTTCATAGAACTAAAATAACCTGTATAGTATTACACCTTTACTCGGGAAGTCAACGATATGGGTGAACCACCAACGCCCCCCCCCCCCTCCCCCTAGCCGCTCTACTATTTACGTCCATGGCCGTAAGCGAGATTTACAAATAACTTTTCTGATTCCAATTTATAACTCAGGGGCAAATAACTCATCTGAAACCGATTCTCTTTCAGTAGATACAATAATATATCTAATATATCTACTGAAAGAGAATCGGTTTCAGACGAGTTATTTGCCCTTGAGTTAGAAATTGGAATCAGACCAGTTATTTGTAAATCTCGCTTCCGTACATGGACGTAACAGTCTTTAAACATATACTTAGTAATAGCTAAATGTTATTTTTGAAACATTTTCCACGTTACAAGCGCCTGTTATTATACCTGTTTTGTTCTGACGCTGAACTTACAGATTACGTAACAAAATAGCGACCTTGGCCGAAGTTTTCCGGACGCCCAAAATGGCTCTTCCTTCAGTTATTCAGTTAATGCGCTGGGCAGATCTCGTATTTACCGTAAACACGACATTGATCGAACGAACCATTAGACGATTAATGCCAATCTAGTGAAAATCCCATAACAAATTAATAAGTTTGGAAGTTTTTAATAATATATTAAACTATATACAGATTATAAAAAAGACACTTTATAAATAAATATAAATTTGTAAAGACACTTAGGTTAAAGCTATATTCTAGCACTAAATTACAATACAGACACTTAGGTTAAAGTTATATTCTAGCACTAAATTACAATACAGACACTTAGGTTAAAGTTGTATTCTAACACTAAATTACAATACAGACACTTAGGTTAAAGTTGTATTCTAACACTAAATTACAATACAGACACTTAGGTTAAAGTTGTATTCTAGCACTAAATTACAACACGGACACTTAGGTTAAAGTTGTATTCTAGCACTAAATTACAACACGGACACTTAGGTTAAAGTTGTATTCTAACACTAAATTACAATACAGACACTTAGGTTAAAGTTGTATTCTAGCACTAAATTACAACACGGACACTAAGGTTAAAGTTGTATTCTAACACTAAATTACAATACAGACACTTAGGTTAAAGTTGTATTATAGCACTAAATTACAACACGGACACTTAGGTTAAAGTTGTATTCTAACACTAAATTACAACACGGACACTTAGGTTAAAGTTGTATTCTAACACTAAATTACAATACAGTCACTTAGGTTAAAGTTGTATTATAGCACTAAATTACAACACGGACACTTAGGTTAAAGTTGTATTCTAGCACTAAATTACAATACAGACACTTAGGTTAAAGTTGTATTCTAACACTAAATTACAATACAGACACTTAGGTTAAAGTTGTATTCTAACACTAAATTACAATACGGACACTTAGGTTAAAGTTGTATTCTAACACTAAATTACAATACAGACACTTAGGTTAAAGTTGTATTCTAACACTAAATTACAATACAGACACTTAGGTTAAAGTTGTATTCTAACACTAAATTACAATACAGACACTTAGGTTAAAGTTGTATTCTAGCACTAAATTACAACACGGACACTTAGGTTAAAGTTGTATTCTAGCACTAAATTACAACACGGACACTTAGGTTAAAGTTGTATTCTAACACTAAATTACAATACAGACACTTAGGTTAAAGTTGTATTCTAGCACTAAATTACAACACGGACACTAAGGTTAAAGTTGTATTCTAACACTAAATTACAATACAGACACTTAGGTTAAAGTTGTATTATAGCACTAAATTACAACACGGACACTTAGGTTAAAGTTGTATTCTAACACTAAATTACAATACAGTCACTTAGGTTAAAGTTGTATTATAGCACTAAATTACAACACGGACACTTAGGTTAAAGTTGTATTCTAGCACTAAATTACAATACAGACACTTAGGTTAAAGTTGTATTCTAACACTAAATTACAATACAGACACTTAGGTTAAAGTTGTATTCTAACACTAAATTACAATACGGACACTTAGGTTAAAGTTGTATTCTAACACTAAATTACAATACAGACACTTAGGTTAAAGTTGTATTCTAACACTAAATTACAATACAGACACTTAGGTTAAAGTTGTATTCTAGCACTAAATTACAATACAGACACTTAGGTTAAAGTTGTATTCTAGCACTAAATTACAATACAGACACTTGGGTCAAAATTTATTCTAGCACTAAATTACAATACAGACACTAAGGTTAAAGTTGTATTCTAACACTTAATTTACACTTGGGTTAAAGTTGTATTCTAGCACTAAATTACAATACAGACACATGGGTTAAAGTTGTATTCTAGCACTATGTTAAAATACAGACACTTGGTTTAAAGTTGTATTCTAACATTAAATTACAACACAGACACTTAGGTTAAAGTTATATTCTCGGTTAAAGCTATATTATAACATTAAATTACAATAAAAATACTTGTGTTGACGTTGTATTCTAGTTTAAGGCTGTATATTCTAGTTTGGGGATGTACTAAATTAGGCCTACAATAAAGATATTTAGTTTAAAGCTGTATTCTGATTAAAACACAAATCCTATTTCTTTTCGTTTTTTTATAATTCAAAATTTCGATTTATTTGTCTTCACTACACTAGGATCTGAAAGAGTTGATATATAAGCCGCGTTCTGGTTAATGTGAGGGATTAGCCAATGAAGCAGTCCGCTACGACGAGTTCTTGGCGTGTGATGCACGGAACTGTGGGTAAACCACTAGAAACGTCAACGCTTATTGATTAATCAATGTCTGACATCATAGGCTCAAAAGCCGCTAGTACGACCCCTGACGCGACCTTCCAGTAAAACTGGTCAGATCTTCATGTAGCGTAGGTTATTGAAAGTATAAAAACGAAACGAAATATAAATCTGTACAGGTTAGGGTTATGAAACTAATGAATTATTTAACTATAAATAAATGATTATAAGATTACAAATGACAATATTCACGATTATAAAATTACAAATTAAAACATTCACGATTATAAAATTACAACATTTACGATAATAGCATTCAACTATTGTGTATATATACAAATATTTAAAATGTGTTAAAATAAATAAACATGTGACATAGTGAAAAACATTCAATTTATGATACATTGCTTTATCGTTCGTTTATGCTAGGTTCCAACTGTCGTGCGATTCTTTAAGACAAGGTTGTCCCTATTGAGTCCACGAGCTGGTACATGCAGATACCTTCGGATACGGTCAACACGGTTGCTACGACTGACCTCAATATATGATAAGACCTGATAGGATTACCACGATTAAAACCACGATTCCAATCGTAACGCGAATCGTGATACTGGGAACCTAGCATTACTGCAAATGGAAATAAAAGACACACATAGCACCGTTTAGTTGTATTTCTTTCTGGTCCATGATGTGGTCTACCAGCTATCAGCCCAGAGTGACTGGATATTCGTTATGGCATTTGACGTCATTGCTAATAACGACGTCGTAATATGGATAAATAACTTCATTGGTCATTGCCAATGGCGTAATTTACGTCATTTTCCATGTTTGGTTGACAACGATGTCATGAATCACTCGACGTAATTATTTAGGTTTAAATGACGTTATTTTCAATGTTACTTGTTTTATGAACTCATAACAATGTAGTAATAAATTATTAGAGATCATTTTCTCGGTGAAATTGACACACGATCAAATCAAAGGTTCAATATTACGATATATACCTAATCGTATGTTATACAACGATTTTAATTCATTTTTTCATATATAATAGAAAGGGGTGCCATGCGCGCTGCAGTGTATGCTTACTTAGTCTGGAACACGTATTACATCTTTGACATACTATCAATCTGATTAAAACACGAATCCTATTTCGTTTCGTTTTTTATAGTTCAAAATGTTGTTTTACTTGTCTTGTCTTTACTACACTAGGGTCTGGTATTTTAGAGCTATAGTCGGAAATTTTTTTCGGTAACTTTTTTTTCGTGGGGGGAGGGGGGGCAATAACATTTTTTTCAGGGGGGGGGGGGCATTGCCCCCCGCCATTGCCCCCCGCTGGCTACGGGCCTGATTCAGATATTCTGAATAAATAAACGGAAACAGCAGTTTATTGTTTGGGTTACATTTAGTTTTAGTATGTTTTAAATATCACAGACGCTTGACACCTCTATAAAACAAACAATATTAATTCATGTCGTTAAGTTACAAGGCAGCACTAACTTGGAGATTATTTAGAGGGTATAAAATATATAATCTTTAACACGTTTAGTCACAACGTTTCTCTGTCACAGATACAAGTCGTGGGTCAGTAAATCACTTCTTCACATTCATTTATAAACTTACAATCACACCTATCACGGTCGCAATCATAAAAAAAAGGTTTCTTAATTTACACAGAATATGTCGATATCACTAACCAATAGATAAGTAGAAAATTTAAATCATAGAGTAATGACTCTAGGTTCGGGCCAAAAGACTATTACTTGATTTCGCTTCCGACACAATTCTCAACCAAAAGACGTTCATGTTTCACTAATTTACTTTTACTTGCATCTATGGTTCGTTGCGATTACAATATGTTTATATATTTTAAAATGCCCGTCATACTATTAAACGATTTAATTTAGGAAGGATGGTATATAGACATTTGATATTAGTCCAATATGATGTGCTTATTGATTATCAACCGGATATGACGTACTTATTGATATCAACCGGATATGACGTGGTTAATGATTATCAACCGGATATGACGTGGTTACTGATATCAACCAGATATGATGTGCTTATTGATATCAACCGGATATGATGTGCTAATTGATATCAACCGGATATGATGTGCTTATTGATATCAACCGGATATGACGTGTTTATTAATATCATCCGGATATGACGCGTTTATTGATATGACATGACTAATAATCATTATCTACTGTTATCCAGTATTTTGGATCAAGTTCAACATTGCGACTCTTTGATGATTGTTTAATTTTAGTTTTGTCCTTGTTGGTGAAGAAATCACACTCTGCCGTTCCTTCGTACTCCCTCGTACCGTCGTACATTTCATTTCTTTCGTTCTCACGGTTGCGTTTACGCGATCGCTTTGAACTTGTTCGTTGTAATGTACTTTGCGTAATATTCTGATGGTACTGACTAGGTGTCTCGTTCTCGGTTTCCACATACTGAATGGGCGGAAGTGACCCCCGACCTTCTGGAAGCGAGGCTATGATTCGCTCTTGTTTACCAGGCGGAATGGGTGACGGCCAATTGTCACTGTCACTGATTGATAAATCTTCATCATCCGTTCCCTTTTCACTTCCGGCAGGAGAAAGGTCCAATGGTGAGACTGCTGGCTTTCGGTACCTTTTCCTAACAAAGAATATACTGACGATGAAGACAATGATGATGATGAAAATGATAACAGCCAGGGCTATCATGGCGTTCTTTAGAGTGCTGTCTTCTCCTCGTATCAACTGAGTCACAATCTGTGTCGATGGTCCATCAGTAGTACGTCCTAATATGGTCACCCACAAAAACGTCGATGTTGAATGTCGATTGGTAGAAACTTCTTCGGCCTGAAAGAAATAATATGATGGAACATAAACACGTGAAATTTTAATAGCATGTTTCGTTTCAGTGAATTAGAAGCCTTAATACTTTAGGAGCTACGCGTGTCTATTCTAAATTTATAATCCCAATCCTCTTTTTGATACCTCCATTAAGGAAAGCATCCGTACGTCGATGGTCATGCTTACAAAAATAATTGATATGACATCAAATAATACTGTGATAGCATGATTACAAGACTAAATCTAATAGTTAAGGCCAACTCAATTTCCGTCAAGGTCGCTGTGGTGTAAATAAGGTTAGGACACGTGATTGTTGGGAGATTGTAGGTTAGGGTAAGCACTGGGGCTAGGTCCAGAATTGGTTAGAGTTGGGATTAGCGCTAGCGCTGTTTACATCTCGTGGCTTTTTACCAAACTTGAAGTTGACTTTATTAAATAGATCTAATCGTGATTTCAACGTGAAGAAACAAAGGGAGATGATCAAAGGAAGATATTATTAATTTTTTTTATAGATCAGACCACATACTTCAGTGCACTCGGCACATATTAATTGATAATGAAATGATATGGGCTTTAACGCCCTAGACAAAACGGACTAACGAAGACGGACATGCGCTATGCGATGTACTCTGGGGGACATTTTTCAGGTATCAGACCACATACTTCAGTGGACTCGGCACATATTAATTGATAATGAAATGAAATGATATGGGCTTTAACTTCCAAGACAAAACGGACTAACAAAGACGGGCATGCGCCATGCGATGTACTCTGGGGGACATTTTGCCCTAACAGCCACTGTGGATAGTCTAACAGCTGTGTAAGACGTCGAAAGATTTATGTTTGCGTCCATTTTTCATTAAAAAAAACCATAAATAAACCCACCTTAATAGTTAAGCTAAAACTGGCGATATCAATATCTTTTAGAACACGTAAAACAGTGACGACACCAGTGATGTCATCAATACGGAAGTAATTAGTTATATTGGTTATATCACCTAAAAAAACATTGAAAACGATTTCGTTATTTTTTAGACAAATAATAATGTCAAATGATAGATCTATCTTTATTTTTTATTTATTTTTTGTATTACTCGTATTACTAGTTATAAATTGTCTAAAACGAGTTATTTCGTTATCTAGATGTCAATTACTGTTAAACAAAAACAAGGCTTGAAAAGGGGGGACATTTCTAACAAACTTTACAAAGGGATTTTTAAACGTACAGTATAAGTAACAGAACATTTAGCAACAAAAAGGTTGGAGAAATAAAAGAAAATATATGAAGATAAAGGGGGATAACTCTACTCACCTTTTACCTGGTACTTTTTGTCACCTGTCGTTCAGTCTAGCGTTATTGTTTTAAGAATATTATTAGTGATCTATCGATTTACAGATTGTATACCGTATCAGTAATAATGGGAGATAACTCATTAAAATTTTCAAAATGGATGGGCTTTTGTTCGTAAACTTTGTGCAGTGGCGTGCAGAGAGAGAGGGGGAGAGAGAGAGAGATGGGGTTTAACGTCCACTCGACACAAACTAGGTCATTTCGGGACTAAAATATGGTTTATTTTTTTTTATTTCAATAATTCGCTGGCGCGTAGGGGTCTTTAGCAGTTGGAGGAAACTGGAGGACTTGGAGAAAACCCACGAGGTTGGACAGGCAATCCTACTCCTTGTCACTTGCAACCAGGGATTCGAAACTACGCCAGTTGACCCAATGACAGGCCTAATGATACAGGGCGCACGTGCTAACCATTCGGTCATCCAACCACCCAGTGGCGTGCAGAGGTTTGATGCGGCTCATGGATTGTTATGCCCATAGAAATATAGACCCCTCCAAGACTCAACTACAGAGCCTTGTACTAGTATTCAGGAAATTAAAAAGGACGACATTTTAACTATTTCAGAAGATAAATTTGTATTCAAATAAAGTAGAGCAGCTTGTTCATATAAGTTTACAGCCAATTTAAAATTTTAAAAAACTCAATTTTCATTTTCACTCTTTCAATGAATGCCCCCGCCCCCTCCCAGACTAAAATGGATGCCCGGGGCCACTGGCCACAGCACCCCCCCCCCCCCTGCCCCCACACACTCCCTCTCTGCATGTCACTAGCTTAGTGTTTATATGAATTTAAAATGCCGTGAAGCAATAATCAAGTCCAAGATCAATTGATTAAAAAAACCGGTTCATGATTCTAATTTAAATCTAGACTAGCTATTCCTCCCAACTCTACCTGCATGCCATGATGTCACAATGTCATTCGTTTTCCCACGGACTAAATAGATGAATGATAGCAACACCAACTTCCGGTTATACAGATGATTATGTTTCTTCTTCCAATAAATAAATATCTTTCTTACCTTTAGAGTTGGAATCGAACTTGCGACATGCGGAATATAATAAATAAAGCACGATTGATCAGAGACAACCGGGGTTAAAATAAAGCTGGAAATATGAAATTGGAAATTAACCTTTGCTGGGGAGCCTCTTGGTGATTTTAAGGGTTAAATATAAATGATTTTATGTTGAGAGAGAGAGAGAGAGAGAGAGAGAGAGAGATGGGGTTAAACGTCCAATCGACACAAACTAGGTCATTTTGGGACTAACGTATGGTTCAATTTTATTTTAATAATTCGCTTGCGCTTAGGCGTCTTTAGCAGTGGGAGGACCCGGAGAAAACCCACGAGGTTGGACAGGCGACCCTACTCCTTGCCACGCACAATGGCATATAGCAATTGTATATGAGATTGATGTTGAAGCTTGAAGCTATTTACAAAGTATCCCTCTATCGTTATCACGCACAATGACATTTAATAATTGTACATGTATAGACTCATGTAGAATCTATTTACAAAGATTATGGGTGTATCAACTCGGAGGTCATTTGGGGGTAAATTATAAAGAATAAAATTTGGGTTAGTGTGAGAAAATCGTCGATAACAATGTCAATAATTGTAGTTCAACACAATCTGCCGTAAGAATCATGACACGCACGGTTCCTAGGGTTTGATAGTTCGCAGACTAGCTGCAAGAAACCGGGTGAAAATTTTGTATGTGTAGGACCAAAAGTCTCTAAGAGCATTCTGCGATCTTCTACGATGCCGAACACACGCAAGTGACGCGTATGTCTCACGCGCGGGTTTACTAAAAATTTCTCCCGTAGACTTGCAATCTCCCAAACAGAGTTGTCTTCCCTTGCAGTTCGAATGCTGGATAGCGAGACTTGTGTTGAGAATGTTTTGTAGCATGTACGGCCGGGTTGTGAGCTAAATTTAGAGCTGATTCCTATATCATTATCAATCAGTATAGAGAGAGGGAGAGAGAAATGGGGTTTAACGTCCACTCGACACAAACTAGGTCATTTCGGGACTAACATATGGTTTTAATTTATTTCAATAATTCGCTTGCGCGTAGGGGGGAAACCGGAGGACCCGGAGAAAACCCACGAGGTTGGACAGGCGACCCTACTCCTTGTCACTTACAACCAGGGATTCGAAACCACGCCAGTTGACCCAATGACAGGCCTTATCATACAGGGCACACGTGCTAACCATTCGACCAACCAACCCCCCATCAATCAGTATACCGCTATAATCTATGTTATTTAGCATTCTTAATTGATGTTATTGGGTATTATTATTTAAAAATGTTTTTTTAAAGATACAGCCAAGAGAAACCCCAACTCTTCAGATACAGGGTAATATCATGCACATATCAACCATTAAAGCGAATATATATAAAGAGATTTAACGATAACCAACAGTAAAATACAGTATTAATTATAGAAGGAGCGTAAATAGAATAACAGTTATATAAAATAAATACATAGATGGCCCTCTCATGCTACTTTACAATATACCCTGCTTTGCGAACCCGAAATTTAAAGCGACAATCTCTTGGCTATTGTTTTTTTTTTTTAAAAAAAACGAACCAAAGCATCTTTTTTTATGGAGTTTCGAATATACTATATAATCCATCATGGCTAAAATTGTTATCTGATATTTTCGTTGGGTATTTCGAATATGTTAGCTGTTAATAAATGTTTTATTTACCACAATCCCCATCTTTCTAAATACTGTTTTATTTGGTTTTTTTACAAAAGAGTGTCGCTTTAAAGTCATGTATAGATAAAGATATTAAAACAGAAACCAGATGGCTAAAAGTCAAAGTTTGAACCGAAACCTATAAATACAAGAGCTACAGAGAATTATGACACTGCACAACAGAATTAAAACATTTTACAACATTGCTGAAAATTAACTGAAATTGGTTTTCAGAGACAAAATCTTTACTCCAGAATCAAACCCAAATAATTTATGTAGAGCATCATTACAATCCGCCGCAAGACAAAAAGCTACATATTAATCAATCTTTATTTACACGTGCTTGCTGGTGTCCTACAAGGCTTAGTACTAGGCCCTTTGCTGTTCAGTATCAAACCAGCTTGATAAACCTCGGCCACCATCATAAGCCACATGTTCATGCCAGCACAGTCTACATTTCACATAGTTTGCAGACAGGTGTCTTACAAGGGCCAGTAGTGGGCCCACTGCTGTTCAATAACTCTATTTAAAGCCGTAAATAAAGTTAGTTCAACGATATACACACTAGCTAATACCTTACCAAATAACAGCTCAGGATTACAGACGTAGTTTTCATAAAATTCACAGAATTTATTCCAAATTTCGGTAAATTTTCAGCCAACCGTAAAATATTTTATGGTCGTTTTGCCAAGATCTGACTTTATATTCTACAATAAAGACTTAAAGATTATATGGATTAATATATTATATAATATGAATTCTAAAAACCAACCATTAACAATACTGTAACGAACTGGATAACCAAGCGTATCTCGGTCACGTGCGTATATTGAAGCTGGTGTTAAGCTGGTTAAATCACCCTAGAAGATAAATAATGTAAACATGTTAGATGAATTGTGGTATGTCTGATAGCCCCACTTTCCTTACTTATCTTTAGATCTCTTCCGGTCGAGGAGCCACGGTGGCTCAGTGGGTAGGACGTTGACTCGCATCCCTGTGTTGACCGAGACAGTTCATCGGAACTATCCGTCCTGTCAGTAGTGGAGGGCGTGGGACCTGGCAATGGACAGCTTACAGTCCTTCGATGGGACGAAAAACATTGGCGTGCACGTAAAAGATCCCTGGACAGTTGGAATTCGATATAAGAGTAGGTCGTAGTGCCGCTTTCCGAGCAAACTTTTTCTCAAAGCACACTGTATGGCTTATATCCGTCTTCATTAGCCAATACAGTGCAGAACAGTAGGACGTTAAACCCCCATTTTATTTCTTGTCCTTCTTTCCTATTTATCCTTAGATCACTTCCGCTCAACCATGTGACTACACTGTACCATTGAAGCCCCATATACTTCCATTAGACCATAAAACAGTTTAAAAATTCCTAATGTTATTTCATTTGAATAATACACAAATTGGTAATGTGTTTTCGACGGGTAGTACAATTTGAATGACTTCAGGTGACCGGAAGTAGCGATGGTGGGGATGGGCCTTACATTTGAGCAACAAAATTTAACTCACTATTAATACCATGTTTCTGAAGCAACGACCGCGAGTTTCAGACGTTGCTACACTACTTTGCAATTCCAAAACTAATAGCTATGTTATCTCCCTTTACAGAAGACACGTGAACAGCAGGGCCGTTTTTAGCGGGGGTGCAGGGGGTACATTGCACCCCCAGAAAAATAAGGCGCCCCGAGAAATTGCGCCCCCCACCCCATCCAAAAAAAACAAAAATTATTTGACAATCTTTCAATTATAAAATAATCCACTTGATTATGATCACACAGTTATGCTCTTAAGGCACTAATCAGTCGATCGGTTTTAATGGCGCCCTGGTCGAAACTTTCTTATATCACATACGTAGAGGCTATGGCGCCCCACCACTCTGCTGCGCCCCCACTTTTAAAACCCTACATACGGCCCTGATGAACAGTATTGTCCATTAGAGGTTGTGACAAAAACACACTCAAATTAAACATGGCGACCTCCATGGAAACCTTGACATTGAATGAACCTTGAACTTTGCAACTCGATTATCACAGGTAGACATTTTAGCTGGAAAGCGCGAGACTTGGTATTCATGATGATCGAGGAATCTGATAGGTTCTCAAGCTGGGTCAGTACCCAATAGAAATTAGTGCTAAATATGCAGGGTATTACGTGAACTCTCAATGCTATCAATAGCCTGTGATATTTAGCGGATTAGAATACATTTTTTGAAAAATAATCAAACGTAAAAATGAATAATCGAGACTATGTATTTTATCGTACCGACTTTAGTAATGATGATCGAGGCTAGGCCTAAAGTTCAAGAGCTAATATCCCGGTACAGAGTGGATCAATTTGACTAAAATTTTCAACAAATTGCCTTTACATTATCTAGTTTTTAACTGTTATAGTGAGAACTGCCAGCTTTTTATTTAATCTCCCATTATGCCCCTTTAAACAAAAATGTATAAATCATGTTATAGAAATTTACCACATAATCATCGGCAACGGAAGTCTGGTAGAAAATAGAACACGGTTTGGTCTGACACCCTTCATAATAGAATTCTGGTGGCTGATCATCGACGTCTATCACATTCACGGTTATCAAGGCGTAATCCATTAATCCACCTCGATCCTGAAAGAATAGCATACAATTATAACATCTTAAAATAATAATTTCTAAAAGTCTCGGATTATCATACCAACCAATCTTATTAAAACACAGATCTTATTCTGTTTCATTTTTATAGTTCAAAATTTCGATTTATTTGTCTGTACTACACTAGGATCTGGAAGAGTTGTTATAAAACCTGAGTTCTGGATTCTGGATGGCGTGAGGGCTTAGCCAATGAAACCATCTGTTACGGCGACTTCTTGGCGTGCGATGCACGGAACTGTGGGTAAACCACTAGAAACGTCAACACTGATTAATCAATGTCTGACGCTTTAGGGCCAAAAGCCGCTGGTACGACCCCTGAAGCGACCTTCCACTACAACTGGTCAGATCTTCATGTAGTGTAGGCCATCGAAAGTATAAAAAACGAAACGAAATATAGATCTGTATTTGAATCAGATTGCATATCAACGTAGATAATCTCCCTATGTTGTCTGTAGAATACGATTTAGATCCTAAGATCTGTCATTGCGTCAAGTGTCTTATCTCAATTCCCAGTTTGTACGTGACATGGAGTAGGGTCGCCAGACCGACCTCATGGGCCTTCTGATTCTCTCCCACTGTTAAAAGACAGTACGCTCTCTGAAAGTTCATCCAAAAGTGTTTAGGCCATTTTATTATAGCGCTATAGAATTCGAATATTTCACCTACCGGATGTATAAACCGCGAATAACTCACTTTACGAAACCAACTTTCGGATTATCCTATTTATAAACCGCGAATAATTCAATTTACGAAACCAATTGTCGGATAATCCTATGTATAAACCGCAAATAATTCACTTTACGAAACCATCCTATGTAAAACTTAATTCACTTACTTGTACTGAAACGTTTAATATATACAATTTATCATCCATCGTTTCATAGTCTAGAGGTGACTTCAACCGAATTAGTCCATCTTGAGCTTTCGGCATTTCGAACTTCGTCTGTCCATCAAGCTGCAAGTGTTTTATATGGTTAGTGTTGGTGATTTAATTTAATGAAAGAGACTGCACAATAGGGAATTTACAAACATATATTGTTAAAATATATGATGAATGGAATGGGGTTTAACGTCCTACTTTCCTACTCCATCCGGGCTAACGACTACGGGCATGTAATGTGCTATGATAGCCATTTTTGCAGGGGAGTGCTGATTGTAGGCCGGTTGGAGAGGTTCAGGAATTTCTGGAGTCCACAATGGCCGCTTTATATACATGTGTATTTTGGGTGATACTAACCCTTTTAATAGTTCAGTCTCCTAAAAAGGGTTAGTGTTAGAATTTTTGTAGGACAGCAATTGAATTCCAACTGACAAGTGATATTTTACGTACTTGCCAAGGTGTACGCGGGACGTCGGTATTTCGTCAGGTCCTAACGGCTTGATGCTGTTCCTTGTCAGATCCGCCGTCCTGAACCACATACGCCATGCAGTGTGCTGTGAGGGAAATTTTGCACGGAAAGCGGCACTACGGCCTAGTCTTATATCGAATTCCAGCTAAGGGAGTCTTTTACGTGTACGCCAATGTGTAGACGGGACCTAGGTTTTCCGTCCCATCCGAACGATTAGACCGCTGTCCTTGTCAGGCCATTCGTCCTGCATCACTGACAAGGGAGAACCACGTCATAAAATCCAGATGAACTTTCTCGGCCAATGCAGCAATTGTACAAACGACCTCCAGACTGGAGAGCCAGCGTGGCTCCAATCACGAAATAAACCAAACGAAATGTTAATATAAGTTTAATAACATTACCTCTACAGGAATATAATCGTGTATTTTAAATCCTTGTATTTCATTCATCGACTGGTTTAGATCTTTATCTTCAGCATGTTGACTGAGGATAATCAACTGTGTATTAATACTAGCATCCTGTAACATATAATAGCATGCTGACTTAGTATAATCAACTGTGTATTAATACTAGCATCCTGTAACATATAATAACATGTTGACTTAGGATAATCAACTGTGTATTAATACTAGCATCCTGTAACATATAATAACATGTTGACTTAGGATAATCAACTGTGTATTAATACTAGCATCCTGTAATATATAATAACATGTTGACTTAGTATAATCAACTGTGTATTAATACTAGTATCCTGTAAAATATAATAACATTAACTCGTATACAACCTGAAATAACTTAGTTTGTGTCGAGTGGATTTACAATATGATAAGCAAAAAACAATTTAATGTTCCCCATTCTCTGATGTTTGTTCCCGATAAACGAAAATCTACTGCCTGAGAAATGGACGGTTCCCCGAATCTGGGGGAGAGGTTGGATGGCCGAATGGTTAGCGCGTGCGCGTTATATCATAAGGTCTGTCACTGGGTCAACTGGGGTGGTTTCGATTTCCCGTTGTACGTGACAATGAATAGTGTTGCCTGTCCAACCTCGTGGGTTTTCTCCGGGTCTTTCGGTTTCTCTCACTGGTAAAGACCCCTACGCGCAAGCGAATTATTGAAATACAATTGAACCATATGTTAGTCCCGAAACCGAAATGACCTAGTTTGTGTCGAGTGGATGTTAAAGCCCATTCTTCTCTCACTCTCTCTATGAAATTGGGTTTAACGTCCTACAGTGCTGCTCCGACTGGGCTTATCGAAACGTCGTGTTTGTGTATAATAAACTAGTGAATTTTGTTTAAGTTTTGTTTAATACAATTATTGTTTATAAAAATAAGTTTACCTCTGTAATATTTCGTACAAATGGCTGGTTGATAAAATTGGGTGGGAATTCGTTGACTTCAGTAACTCCCAAAAAATAATCATAATTCTGAAATTAAAACAAAACAATCATGATTTTGAAATAACAAACACCTAGTTATACTCAATTATTCGACGAGTTCACAAACTTTTAATACATACAGTAAAATACCACCGCAAGTAACGGGGGGGGGGGGGTTGGCCAAATGGCTAGCGCGTGCGCGTTGTATCATTGTATCATTGCCATTGAGTCAACTGGCGTGATTTCGATTTCCCGATTGTACGGGTCAATGCGTAGGGTCGCCCGTCTAATCTGGTGTGTTTTCTCCGGGTCCTCAGGTTTCCTCCCACTGCTAAACCCGCAAGCGAATTATTGAAATAAAATAGAACCATATGTTAGTCCCGAAATGACCTAGGTTGTGTCCAGTGGATGTTAATCTCTCTCTCTCTCTCTCTCTCTCTCTCTTTCTCTCTCTCGCTCGCTCTCTCGCTCGCATGGGCCTCCCATGGCCAAGCTGTCAGTCTCTGAATTTTATGATTATTCTGATTTCGACATACCTGTGTAAGGCCGCTACTGGTACAGTAAAACTTCATCATTATATTTGTCAGACGTATACCCTACAAAGTGAAATATATATTACTAATATGCTAATACAAAATATATTACTAATACAAAATATGTTACTAATACAAAATATTACTAATACAAACAAACTTACTAATGCAAAATATGACCAAAGCTTATTCCGAAAAAGTGGCTCAGTGGGTAGGACGCTGGCTCGCTAGCCTGGAGGTCGCGTGTTGAATCCCTGCATTGACCGGGAAAGTTCATCGGGATTTTCTGTCGTGGTTCGCCCTTGTCCGTGATGCACGGATGGGACGAAACTACTAGTAATAATAGTGCACGAGGTCGTCAGCCCGAGTGTTGTATCATTTATATTACGCAATGTCTTGTTCGAGACCATTATACAACTTATAGTATAAATACTATCCCGCACGAGCATTGCCATGAAATCGTCACGCGAGTCCAATATTTCATCGACTATAAAATAATGCCCGATTGCCAGGTTGTCCGTACATTATTTGACAAAAGATGTCGTCGCATCATGGGGTTTAAGGTCCTACTGTTCTGTTCCGACTGGTCTAATGAAGACGGGCATACGCCATACAGTGTGCGATGAGGAAAATTTTGCCCGGACAGCGGCGCAACGGCCTACTCTTATATCGAATTCCAACTGTCAAGGGATCTTTTACGTGCACGCCAATGTGTACACAGGACCTCGGTTTTTCGTCCCATCTGAACGACTAGACAGGCTGCTGTCCTTGCCAGGCCCTCCGTCCTGCATCACAAACAAGGGGGAACATAACGTTGAGAGAATGGGACAACTCTTCGAAACGTCGCCCAAATAAATAAGTAGATGTTTTTCTATACGTATGTGTTATAGTCTAGAGTCTAAAAGGTGGTCATTGTACAATAATCCACAGCACACTCCTATTTTTAGTTTAAGTTCTAGAAGTTCGATCGTACGTGAAAAAGCTGTTGAGCATTAGTTAGTTGAATGATGTTTGTTCGACAAAATTCACATTTGGTCGAAGAGCTGATGTTTGATCCACGTGGTTTAACGTTTGGTCGAAGTGTTTGATGTTTAGTTCAGAAGTTAAGCCTTTCGTCAAAGCTGTCGTGTGGATCTTCAATTGAAATAGTTGATTTTCCTTTGACGTAACCGTTGTATTGACAATATAGTTTCATTAGCTGTGTTTCCAGTTAGTGCTAAATGATAAGGCCAACTCAATTTTTCGCCATAGGTCACGAGATGTAAACAGGGCTAGCGCTAATCCCAACCCTAACCATGGACCTAGCCCCAATGCTTACCCTAACCCTAACCTACAATCTCGCCAACAATCACGTGCCCTAACCTTATTTACATCTCAGCGACCTTGACAAAAATGGAGTTGGCCTTAAAATATAGATTTAACCATGTTTCTGTGCAAATCGTATATGGTGAATTTGAAGATGCATTTTGTACGAGTCAAATCTACCTATTGCAGGTCTTTTTGCTGGTTCCAAATATTATAAAAATCATTATTTTAACACCTATTTAAATAACATTCCCACAATTAGACCACTGGATGGCCGAGATTTTAAAAGGATTAGAACACCCGCGTTATTTAATAGTTTAACGTTAAAATTGATAATCGAGGCTGTTTATCGTGTGCTTTATCCTTTATCGTCAGATGGTGGGATGGGATGGGATGGGATGGGCATCGAAAGCGCGAGATAATGATAAAGACATATGTTATATCACAATTAATGCTTTGCAGCAATGGAATTGAATCACAATGTGATGATATTAATTCATTATAGATAAAATTGCCGTCAAACGGGCTGTTGTTTTTTTCTCTTTAAACAGCTCAATGTGTGTATATACGTGAAAAAGACGATATAGATGTGTATTTCCTAAAACTTTTCAACTTTTCAAGAGCGGGTGTGTGTGTGGGGGGGGGGGTACATTATCTCTGGAACCTGGCAAACCCCCTCCTGCAAAATTTCCTGGAACTGACCCTGTTTTAGTATACTACTTCAAGTTTGTGTATCTTAAATTTTCGTTGGAGCAGAGACATGAAAATTGGTTGCTCTGGCTGTAATGAAACGTGTTCAGCCCAAAAGAAAATTAGGGGAAGAGTAAGAGTCGGGCAAAGAGATACGAATTACCATTGAAGTCAATGGGGACATTAATATAAAATACCAATTTACCGTATTATTAAAGATGTCCTCTAGATCTAAAGTCTGGTTAAGGGAGAAGTAGTAAGTTTCATTATGCAGGTCAAAGTTGAAGTATTGTTTGAAGACATCTTCATCTTTGGTGATTGCAAACGACCACACAGCATTATTACCAGTTAGATTAAATAACTCATAGCCTGAAATATGAGGGTTTATTATACAATCTGATTAAAGCACACAATGTGATCCTATTTCTCCCGTCAAAAGTCAAAACCTAGTTACTAATTTTTTTTTATCAAAATTGAGTTAGGACCAAATTTGTAGTTACTAGGGTATATGCTTCCTGTTGTTGTACTTGCTTTTGTAAGCAGTTACACCCATGACACAACCTAGCAACTTCCTTCATTTGTCTAGTGTGCCACAGAAAAACCTAGTAACTCAATAGTCAAATCAATGGATAAGCTGGGGTTTAATATTCATTCATTACGTTTCTCAAAATAAGAAAAACGTGAGTCACTAGGTGTTGCCTTTTGACGGGAGATTTGGTTTGGTTTGGTTTTCTTTTCGTTTCGATTGCCTAAACTACATGAAGATCTGGCGGTTGCAGTTGAACGTCACGTCAGAGGTCATACGTGCGGCTTTTGACACTATGACGTCAGATATTTAATTAACCAATCAGCTTTGATGTTTCTAGTGGGTAGTTCTGTACACCTCACGCCAAAAACTCGCCGTATCGGACCATTTCATTGACTAATCCCTCACTTCATCTAGAACGCGGTTTATATAACCGCGTAGTAAAGACAATTACAACGCAATTTTGAACTATAAAAAAAACGAAACTAAATAGGATCTGTGTTTTAATCAGATTGCAATATCAGACAAATGTTATAATAGAAACGATTGCACGTGTTCTAGAAATGGCACAGGTTCAACAACCAGAAGATCCCAGGTCCGAGACAGTTCTGCAGGATTTTCCAGACTCATTCCCCATACTGGGGGGGTGGGGGTGGATGGCCGAATGGTTAGCACGCGCGCGCAGTATCATACTGTCTGTCATTGAGTCAACTGGCGGGGTTTCGATTCCCCGGTTGTACGTGCCAAGGACTAGGGTCGCCTGTCCAACCTCGTGGGTTTTCTCCGGGTCCTCCGGTTTCCTCCCACTGCTAAAGACCCCTACGCGCAAGCGAATGATTGAAATAAAATTGAACCATGTGTTAGTCCCGAAATGACCTAGTTTGTGTCGGGTGGACGTTAAACCCCATTTCTTTCTCTCTCTCTCTATTCCCCATACTTGTTGTGTAGGACAGGGAGCCTGTCAAGTCAAGGTATCTAGTCGTTCAGGTGAGACAAAAACTCAAGGTTCCGCGTAGACCATTAGCATCATGTTAATGGGGGGGGGGGGCTGAATGGTTAGCGCGTGCGCGTTGTATCATAAGGTCTGTCATTGAGTCAACTGGCGTGGTTTCGATTCCCCGGTTGTACGTGACAAGGCGTAGGGTCACCTGTCGAACCTCCTGGCTTTTCTCCGCGTCTTCCGAATTCCTCCCACTGCTAAAGATCCTACGCGCAAGCGAATTATTGAAATATAATTGAACCATGTGACCTAGTGTTTGTGTCGTGTGGCCGTGTGGCCGTTAACCCCCTCCCTCTCTCTCCCTCTCTCTCTCTCTCTCTCTCTCTCTCTCTCTGTGTGTGTGTGTGGGGGGGGGGCGTATGTGATTTTGTATATATTTTTTTGATCTTACCGGGTTCATCTGTTTCCTGGACGCTCTGAAAAGGTGGTGGTGGTGCACCGGTACATTGACTGTTTACTACAAAATATAAAATGTTGTTTATTCATTATCTAATATTAAAATAGTTTCATCATTCCGCAGCCCAAAATACAAACCATTTAGACAGTAAGCCAGATAAAATACCGGAAGTAACGTCATTATGGTATCTGTCGCTCACTGTTTATAAATGTAGCAATGTTATCTTTTGGGACCCAGGGCAATACATATCCTCCTGGCGAGTTGGCATTCGATATAACAGAAGGCCATAGTTCCGCTGCCCGGGCAAACTTTCCCTCATAGCACACAGTATGGTGTATGCCCGTCTGCATTAGCTCAGTCGGAGTAGAACCGTAGGACGTTAAACCCCATTTCATTTCATTTCTAGGTTATTTCATTGAGATTTTGGAGAATCACAAACTACACGGACATTGGAAGCCATAAACAGCATATGTCAAATCAACAAGTGAATAACCCAAGTTATTTCATGTAAAAGTCGGGGAATCACCAACCTGATTAAAACACAGATCCTATTTCGTTTCGTTTTATATTGTCTTCACTTTATTAGGACCTTTGGGAGTTTTTATTTAACTCGTGTTCTGCTTGAAGTGGGAGAACGCTACATCGGCGACGGCCCTGCACATTTTAGCACATATGATGTCATACATAGGTTGTGGGTTAAGTTAGGATAGGGGTTAGGACCTGCAGATTTCGTCAAAACCTCAAGATGTAAACAGGGCTAGCCCCAACCATAACCCTAAGGACCAAGACTAACCCTAACGCAAAATCCGCGTATGACGTCATATGTGCAGGACCGTCTCCGATCTCGCGTTCTCCCTTGAAACGAAATATAGATCTGGGCCGTGTTTCTCGAAATTTTAACTAAAGATAAAATCCAATTTTAGTAGATACTTCAATTTTGATTGGCTAAGCACTAAAATCAATCTAATATTATCTAATCAAATTACTAAAATTTGGACTTTATCTTAGTTAAAATTTCGTGAAACAGGCCCCTGTATTTTAAAAGATTGGGGAATGACGTGGTTGATTTATTATAATTAAATATATCTTACCATAAGAAGTAAAACACAATGTCAGGACAAAGAAGTAATTTATCTGTCGAATCATTTTGTAATAATGGTTTATTTCTAATCTCCTTGATTTTCTCGCAGTTTTTAAATCATCATAACTCTTGGTACTTGATAGCCATGTTTAAATAATCGGCCCTGTAAAATATCAAAAAAACATTAGCCCTATAAATCATCAAAGATATGGTTTTCAGCCCTATAAAATATCAAAGCTATGGTTTTCAGCCCTGTAAATAATAGAAAATGAGATTTTTCAACCCTATAAAATATCAACGATATGGTTTTTCGGCTCTGGGAATTAGCAAAGATATGGTCTTCAACTCTGTAAAATATCAAAAATCATCAAAGCTATGGTTTTCAGCCCTGTAAATAATAGAAAATGAGATTTTCCAACCCTATAAAATATCAACGATATGGTTTTTCGGCTCTGTGAATTAGCACAGATATGGTATTCAACCCTGTAAAATATCAAAAATGTAGTCTTTCAGTCTTGTGATATCAAAGATATGGTTTTGTAAAATATCAAAAATATGGGTTACAATCTAAAGCACAGACAAGAATTATCGGCGACATCACTTCGGTAGAAGCGGACGTCAAGACTCGCCCCATGAGCTAAATCTTATAACACACAGTTGTACCAGGTATTCAGGAACAGGACGTGGTGACCGTTGGATACTCAATCGCCACTAATTGATTAAAAAACAGAAATATAGCCGGCCAAATGTTTTACGATAAACCCTGCTGGACAAATGGGCCTTCTATTTTAACATTCTTGGAAATCTTCTCAAAGACAGGCGGTAATGTGCGGGTGTGGGGTGGGCGTGTGTGTGTGTGGGGGTGGGGGGTTGGGGGGCGGGATGCAATATATCCATACGCCATACACCGATTATTTATGCAACTCGGTTGAGAACATATCTTCCTATATCACCCCTGATTTATGATCGATCACAGATGTTCTGGTCTAACCCGCTCTTGTCAAATCATTCGGCCACCTCAGCCACCTTAAAAAGCGCGGTGGGGTGGGGGTGGGGAGGGGGGGATGGCCGAATGGTTAGCGCATTGAATCAACTAGCGTGGTTTCGATTCCTCGGTTGTACGTGACAAAGAGTATGGTCGCCTGTTCAACCTCGTGGGCTTCCTCCCACTGCTAAAGAACCCCCGGGCGCAAGCGAATTACTGAAATAAAACTGAACCATATGTTAGTCCAGAAATGACATAGTTTGTGTCGAGTGGACGTTAAACCCCATTCCTCTCTCCCTTAAGAAGTGGGTGTAAGGGCCACCCTAATATCAGTGTTAGGATATTCAGAATGGTCCAAAATGAAATGAAATGAAATGGGGTTTAACGTCCTACTGTTCTGCTCCTATACTGGGCTAATGAAGACAGGCATATGCCATACAGTGTGCTATGAGTGAAATTTTGTATATCGAATTCCAACTGCCAAGGGATCTGTTACGTGCATTCCAATGTATACACAGGACCTCGGTTTTTCGTCTCATCCGAAAGACTAGACAGCTTTCCTTGTCAGGCCCTCCGTCATGCATCACTGACAAGGGGAAACCACGCCGGAAAATCGGGATGAACTTTCTCGGCCAATGCAGGGATCGAATCAGAATGGTCCAAGTTTTGTGGTCAGTGTGGTTCAAATAAAAACAGTAGTTTAATCTCTGATTAAGGGTTTAGTTGTTTAACGACAGTCCTCACCTCTCACCTTCCGTTTAACCTGGTTAAATAGACACAACTAGTTTACACTCGGTCGTCAAGACAAACAAACACCCCCCAGATCTCACACTCTCGTAGTCTCGGACACCCAGAACATCCTAGTATTCCAACGTAATATTTGTGTCTGAATGATAGAGACTATAACACATTCGATATCTGACAACTGTCACTCTCGATTTTAAACTTACAGTATTCAAATTTACAAACTTCCTCGTGTCTTTGATTTTCGAAAGTTTGACTTAAAATCTCAGTCTTTGATAATCGAGATAGGAACTCGTAGATTTGAGTCAGATTTCTCCTGATTATCTTTAATTTCCTGTCCAAAAGCATAATTACAAAGTCATAATACATGTATTTACATTATCCCATGCTGAACGAAATAAAGGCAGAGAGGTCATATAAAATGTGCGTGTTCCTCAACCCCTTTCAATTTCTGAATAAAATATTGTTTTAAAAAAAAGGTAGAGATATTGCAATGAGCCTCCATCCATCCGCCCCGGTTTTGTTTCCGCGGCATATATCTTAAACCGTTCAAGATATCTTTACACCAGTGGTCTTCAACCTTTTTTACCAACGGCACACCCTGGAACACTTAAAGAAAAAGCGGCACACCTGGCTAAATATATGTGAAAAATATTTGAATTTTGCAATAACCCCCCCCCCCCCCCCAAAAAAAAGAAAACACGGCAAACCATAGACGGCATACAACCGTAGACACAGATTAGTCATAGCAACACATATTCCTGAAGCAATGGCCCGAGAAATACCTCTAACCATCCCTGGATTGGCTTCTGGTACTTGAGCTTTTGAGGGATCGTGTCTATTCTTCCCATTAAATCAAATCTATCCAACGTACAGCAACATGATAGCCCGTCGTTTAACCTGGGGTCTTCCCCAAAACTTTGGACAGTGATTTAAGCTATTAAAACGGTGAAAGACACAACAGCTATGAACTTAAATAACTAGTAGACACTAGTGAATACTTAATTGGGATCACGTGGTTTTTCGCATTTTCTTTTTGTGTCGTTCAAAATTTCGCGGCACACTTAGGAAGACCTCGTGGCACACCTGTGTGCAGCGATACACAGGTTGAGAATCACTGTTCAACACATATCCACCTAGTGGTAGTTGTGTTTTGTGCTAGTGGAAATTATTGGGATTTAATATTGTTGGTGCTTTCACGGAAACATTCCGACGTGGTTTCCCCTTGTCAGTGATGCAGGACGGAGGGCCTGACAAGGACAGCTGTCTAGTCCTTCGGATGAGACGAAAAACCGAGGTCCCGTGTAAACATTGGAATGCACGTAAAAGATCCCTTGGCAGTTGGAATTCGATATAAGATTAGGCGATAGTGCCGCTGCCCGGGCAAAATTTCCCTCGTAGCACAGTGTATGGCGTATGCCCGTCTTCATTAGCCCAGTATAGGAGCAGAACAGTAAAACGTCAAACCCCATTTCATTTCATTTCATTTATTTCACGGAAACACATTTGATCACTAAACTGTTTTATTTCTTTGATTAGTTCAAGAATAGATAATGTAAAAAAAAGCATGGCCCTAAAACTGACCCCTGAGTAACACCAACATAACCATACAACTGCAAATTATTTCAGGACTGCTTGATGAACGATGTCCATTTTTCGAATTTATACAGCTGTTGGCCATTGAATTGGAGAAAACCTAAAACCTATTCTAACCAATATTCATCGATAGGTCTTCATTTGTAGTTTCTTTATTTAAAGATACATTATGGGAGATAAAATAAAAAGCTGGCAGTTCTCACTATAATCAAAATCAAAGTTGAACTAATAGTTTAAAGATTTTAAAGGACATTCGAATTTCTATAAATATGTAGCGGATTACAAATAAAAAAAATAAAGAAAAATACACATAGCAAGTTGAACTAATCGTTTTATGATTTAACAGTGCATTTGAATGTTTCGAAACATAAGAGGATTATTAAAATACAGCATATTAATACCAGAGCATTTGATCAAATTAAGGTGGGGCGGGGATATTTTCCTTACTAGCTATTTAATCTGAAATAAAATGTCGTAAATAAACAAAGACTTGTAAATAAATAAATACTGAATCAATGTAAACAATATAATATAAACAATAATACGTCTGATGTCAACAATGATAAACATTGTTTACGATTATAGCCTTCAGATCGGCATTATTATGGGAAAGAAAACTGACCTATATCCTAAAACATCTGAGTCTATGATTGAAAGTATCTTCCTGATAGAATATAAAAAAAACAAGAATGGCCAGTCAACAAGGTCCCGTGCCCTTGTATACGAACACCTTAAATCCAATCTGGTTAAAACACAGATCCTATTTCGTTTCGTTTTTTATAGTTCAAAATTTCGTTTTACTTGTCTTTACAACACTAGGATCTGGAAGGTTTGTAACATAAACTACATTTTGGATGATGTGAGGGATTAGCCAATTAAAAGGTTTAAGGTGAGTTTTTGGCGTAAGGTGCACGGAACTGTGGGTAAACCACTCGAAACGTCACCACTGATTGATTAATCAATATCTGACGTCATAGGATCAAAAGCCGCACGTATGACTTCTGACGAGTCCTTTCACTACAACCGTTCAGATCTTCATGTAGTAGAGGCCATCGAAAGTATAAAAAAACGAAATGAAATATAGATCTGTATTTTAAACAGAATTGCATATTAGTAAAAGACACACCTACTGTGACCGTATATTAGATTTAATGTCGTTCTATCTTCTAATTTGGGCTCTTGGCGTAATTCGCCGAACATAACTGATTAGAAATTACAGAAAACCGAAACAATTGAATGTAAATTAGTTTATATACATTCATATTACATTATTACATGCGTTGGGACCTATCTATGTCCATTTCTAGGTACTAAAGAATAGCGATATAGCTCCCACGAGGTTGGAAGGCGACCCTTCTCCTTGTCACGTACAACCTGGGAATCGAAACTACGCCCGTTGACTCAAAGACAGATCTTCCAATTGAATGATTGAACGTGCTAACCATTCGGCCATCCAACTCCCCACTTTTAATTAAGAAATGAAATGGGGTTTAACGTCCTACTGTTCTGCTCCTAACCTGGGCTAATGAAGACGGGCATACGCCATACAGTGTGCTATGAGGGATATTTTTAATTAAGGTTATTTACATTATGAAGATGACTTATTTCTTGTCAAAGCTCATAGTTTCGCGCAAAATAAAATTATTTTAACTACAATTTTTAATATAGTTTTTATCTATTTTTTTAACTATTATAGCGAGAACTGTTAGCTCTTTATCCCAATCTCAGGTAAGCGAGAACTGTTAGCTCTGTATCTCAATCTCACGTAATGCATTATTAATTTAGAAAACTAACGTTTTTTATTTTACAAAATCATCCTTCTCCTATGGTGTCACCGA